TTTTTTATGGTCACTGAAGGAGGCAAACCATTCATCTAAATCTCGCAATAATCTGCGAAAAATCTTATTCATTAATCTATTATTATTGAATTAATCCCATTATGTGTAGATCGCTGGTGAACAACGAAAACGTTCCGACCGTTCAAACGAGTTGGAATGTTTTCTCTCTCCTTCTTCTCCGTTTTCTTTCTCACTCGCACTCGTTAAGTCTGGCGGAGGACGGGCACGTGCCAACGCGACGGAGAAAAAAAAAAAATCTGCACAATTATTCAATAGAATCACTGGAAAACTATAGAGTTTTCCAGCGACAGCGCTGGGATTTTCTATGAATTTTTTGACCTACGTGTCAATAATAAATATGTCGAGAAAAAGGAAAAGAGATCATTAGATTCTGCATTCATTATACTATTGATTATAATATGTTCGATTTTACATTCCTGACAATTATTACATAATGCGAGGAGCTACCGTATTGAGAACCTCTTTCCGGTTATCGACAAATTTATACTCGGGCCCTACCATACCAACAGTTCCGTACGCTCCATCGTAGTCCATGCGCCACCGCTATGAATTTTGCTGTTGAACACTTTACATTGGCCCTGCTCATCTCTCCTATAATCTCTGATTGAACATTTCCCCATAAGCCTGAGCAATTATTGGCCCTTTGGGATTTTGTCCCCCATCCATTGTGGTGGGGGAACCGCTCTGCAGCTTGGGCAGCTCCAAGATATGTTGAGTAAAATCGGCCATTTCTTTTCTGGATTTCAAGGTGAGTACTTCTGTGGGCAATTCTTTTTCCAACATGAAAGAAACGAGAATTAACTGAACATTAAAAACTACATTCGCGCTTAAATAAGTGATTTTGTAGGAATAAATACACGAATATTAATAAAAAACGGGAAAATTACAGAATAAATGGAATCTACGGAGAAGAATGAGACAGGCCACGTGGCCAAGCGTCTCACAGAACAAGAAGTTGAGAAAATGAAGGCACAGGACTCTAGACTGGTGCCTCAGCATCGTGCGAATCTTCTCGAGAAAGATGCCAAAAAGTACTGGGATTTGTTTTACAAAAGAAATACCACTAGTTTCTTCAAAGATCGACACTGGACGACTCGAGAATTCCAGGAATTGCTGGACATTGGGAACGCGGAGGGTGGGTGCTTCATTGAGGTGGGCTGTGGCGTCGGGAACTTGATTTATCCTTTGTTAGAAGATGGGTTGAAGTTTAAAAAAATTTATGCCTGTGATTTGTCGCCCAGAGCTGTTGACTTTGTAAAGGTATTTATAATTTTCTAAATTTTACCGGATTACACGTAGCAACACGTAACAACTAGTACCTTTTTGCCCATTTTATTGAAAAAATATATGCAGGAAAGCTGCAGAATTTTTTTTTATTGTTACCACTTCAAATCCACATGTTTTGAATATTTCTTCAACTTCTGATGTTGCGAAATAGTAACTTCTACGAATTCACCATAAAACACTGTTAGCATAACGGTTGATTGAATCTTTAAAAAGTTCAGGCGAAAATATTTCACTTAGTCTACACGTAATAATCCCATGACATACCAAAAATTTTTCAAATAAAAGTTGTTCGTCTTTTTCATATAAACAAAACGGTTTTTTGTTCATCAAAATCGGCCCAGTGGTTCGCCCGCTATCCGCTAATTAGAGGGCGTCCTTAATGAACAAATTATTTTTCATGGAAACTATAAGAGATACAAGAATCTATAAGAGACGATGTGGATGAACAATCAATTTTTCGTGACAAATTGTGATAAAATTGTTTATAACAAATTATTGGCCACTGGAATCGCAAAAACACGAAAAATTCGGATTTCTCACCGCCGAAAACATAATTTTCGATCATAACTCTTGCCGCACTGTCATGTCCACTGGAAGAGGGATAGACTAATTACCTTGATTCATCTTGTCTCATGTAAAAGTTATCTGCAGTTTTATGCCCAGGCTTGAATCTCAACTGAGCGATGTCGTAAAGTCCGTAGTGTCGAAATAAAACAGTTCCTCCGCTTTTGAGAATTCAAAATAGATTCTTGACAACACTGTTCTTGTTTATTGTCTTACATTTTTTTAATAGAAAAAGTTCAGTGAAAACTATCTCACAGAAAACATCACTAGAGTTCGCTCTTTCTATAGAATTTATTCTGTTGAAATATTTCCTATGAAAATTTATCGACCTAAATTTTCCAAATTTTTTTACTCCATTTTCTTTTGCTTTCATTAAATCAATCAAATAAAAAAAAACATGGAAAATTTAACTCAAGAAATTTATAGTAAAAATAACTCAATAGAATAAATTTTATAAACAGTCGAATTCTATGGAGTTTTTCTCTAAATATTCCTATTAGAAGATAGAATTCCGTCAATAACCTTTGCGAAAGACTAATAGTTTTCAATAAAAGATCCGTAGAAATCGAATATAATGTTCCAGCCAATGCGCTGTGGTGTTCCATACAACTTTTCTGTATGCCTAAGGATTAACCTAATTAAGTTTTGGTGGTTGAAACTCTAGTATCACGTCTTTGATCTACTCTTTTAGGAGCACAAACTGTACGATCCAGAAAAAATAAGAGCTTTTCAAGCAGATGTTACGGCTGATAACTGTTTCTCTGAGATCAGCAGCGGGGTTGATGTAGCCACACTGGTATTCGTCTTGTCTGCAATACATCCCCAAAAATTTCAATGGTAAGTCATTTGATTTTTTAAAATTTGGTTTTCTCACATTTCTCCTTCTCTATATAATACGAGGTTTAATGATCGATCAATTTTCAGTGTTGCCAAGAATCTCTTTCGAATTCTCAAAAGGGGAGGAACCGTTTTATTTCGAGATTACGGACTTTACGATATGGCTCAGTTGAGATTCAAACCTGGGCATAAGATTGCAGATAACTTTTACATGAGACAAGATGGAACAAGGTAATGAGATATTTTCAGTAGTAATACCACGAGACCTCCAAAATTATCGGATATTTCCCGATTGTTTTGTTGCGTATCAACGAGACGGAGCAGTTTTGCAGATTAAAATTTTTGTGCAAAACTTACCCCGATAGTTGATACGCAGGAAAACATGAGGAAAATGTTCGATTAATTTTGGAGGTCGAGTGGTATTCGATGGATTATTTTTGGTAATCGGATCCTTCCCAAACCGACTCATTTTGACTTTCTTGATGACTTCCTTTCACTCCACAGGATAATATTTGGCAGTTATTTGGTTAGAGAAACAATTGCAGAGCTAGAGGGAAATTCTCAAAAGCTAGGGAGAAATAACTGTTATAATTTTAATTGGGAAGTACTTCATGTTATTCAATACTGAACTCTGATTGGCCCAGGGAAGGCCAGATCCGATTACCAAAAATAATCACTTGTAATACTACAAGAGCTTCAAAATTATCGGGTATTTTCCGATAGGTTCGTTTGTATGCAGGGAACCTTGAGGAAAATGCCCGATTAATTTTGAAGCTCGTGTGGTATTCGGGGGATTATTTTTCCAATCCAAATGTCGGGCAATATAATTGGACCATGAGACGAAACTCACAATTGAGAAACGAAAATTGTATAATTAACACAACGACACAATTGAATTCATTGTGTCAGTTCGACGAGGGGTTAATTCGACTGCATGATGTTTTGTTTTTTATATAGCAACTACCAGGGAAAATTATCAGTTGAAAACCCTGTAGCTTGTACCACGATGTCGAATGGGCTAATTATATTGCCCGATATTTCGGTTGGAAAAATAATCAACTGAATTTTTTAAACATTCAATCAACAGTTATACTGACAAATTGTTTTATCGTGAATTCTTAGAAGTTACTATTTCGCAACATCAGAAGTCGCAGGAATATTCAAAACATGTGGATTTGAAGTGGTAACTTGTACATACGTTCAAAGACGAACGATAAATCTGAAGGAGAAAATCGATGTACCGAGAATCTTCGTTCAAGCAACGTTCAAGAAGCCCTGAAAATCCTATCATAGATAGAAGTATGTAGTAATTTAATTCATTCGAAAAATAGCCAAGTGATAATAGAAGATGAGTCAGCTCAATCTCCAGTTGAGTTTCTAACGAATATCTGCAAATTCAACCTTTAACTGATCGCATCTCTTCACCTTACGTAGTTCGTCGCGTAGAAAGAGAATCCTCCTCCCAATATTTTACGATTTCATGAAAAAAACGTTGGAAAACATAATTCGTTACGCATTTACAGATAATTTTGAATCTCCAATGGATAGTCAATGGGGAAGAGAGAAACTATTGTCAAATAAACCAAAAACTTGATCTCATTAGGTGCAAAATTTTCAGTTTTTTTGGGTTTTCAAAAGTTGTTAATAATTTATTGTCAAAAGGCTGGACCAAAATAAACGGTTAATGTGTTCAATATATTTGCAAGTAGAAATACCATTTTTTATGAATTTTTCACTCACGAAGTTTTTGTGTGAAACGAACCAATCGAAAAACGGCGATGATTTCCTAATTGTGCGGCCACTCATGGGTTGATGAAGATATACTATTTTTTTTCACAACTAACGAAATCTTCCCCTTTTCCAGACAATGAATCTCAACTTAAGATTGTATTATCACATTTTATTTACTAAGCTATTTTTTGTATTTTATTATAAAAAACATTGAAGTGATGATTTCATAGTTCAGCTGAGAAACTTTGATGTTATACTACAACAATGTCTTTCGCTCCTATCTGATTTAATATTAGTAACAAATCAAGAGTAATTCAAAATGTTGAAATATTCGAATCTAAGTTGGTCGTCTATTCATTCCAGATTGGTTCGTTTTGAATGTTCTGAAAGCAAACTTGATGGAATGGCAACAACAGAAAACTGCAATATCCTGAGTATGTATTCATTTCTTTAAGTTAAAAAATATCTTAGGGATGAAAAATAATGAAGTAATGTGATGATTTCATAGTTCAACTGACGAACATTGATGTACACACGTAGCAATGTCTTTCGCTCCTATCTGATATATTTTTTAGCTAATATGTATTTGTCATCACTATCCAATAACTATCAAAATATCTGATTTAAGAATCCTTTGTTCCAGAATGGAGGGAATCCTCATGATTGAACAACTTCAATACTGCTATTGACTTTGCCACGCATTCAATGGTAATTTTGATTTTTTATTGAAACAACGGGATTAATAATTTAGGCATTCGCTTTTTCTTGGGACGGAATTCTCACATACAGAGTTTCAGTTTTTGAATGAATATTCATACTATTGTGTCGCCTGAATATAATTATTTATGGGAAAAGTCCTATCCATCACCGCTCAGGCAATGATCTGTACTAATACTTAAAATGACTAAAAAATTTCGTTTGTAGAATATTTTCAGATACTTTTAGAAAAATTGAATGGTTGATTTCTGGCTTAGAAGCAAGCAAATCTCATTGACTGGTTTTATAAAAATAGTAGAAAGGAAGGAAATAGCAACTCCCTTGGGAAATTAAAAAATGTCGTGGTCCAATGTGTTGAGTCTGTTCTATCTTAACAACGATCATGGATTCCACCGCGTTACTGCAGAATGATTCTCTGATCTATTTTTTTTTCTTTTCAAATGATGATTTCATAGTTCAACTGACGAACATTGATGTACACACGTAGCAATGTCTTTCGCTCCTATCTGATATATCTTTTAGCTCATACATATTTATTACTATCCAATAAGTATCAAGATATCTGATTAAAGAATTCTTTGTTCCAGAATGGGTGGAATTTTCATGATTGAACAACTTCAATGCTGCTATTGACTTCGCCACGCCTTCAATGGTAATTTCAATTTTTTATTGAAACGAAGGGATTTATAATTTCGAGATTAGCTTTTTCCTGAGACGGAATTCTCATATTCAGAGTTGCAGTTTTTGTATGAATATTACTATTCTCATTATTGTTCCGTCTCAATGTAAGCGTTTAGGGGAAAAGGCCTATCCATCACCGCTCAGACAATGATCTGTATTAATACTTAAAATGACTGAAAAATTTCGTATGTAGAATTTTTTCGAGATACTTTTAGAAAAATTAAATGTTTGATTTTTGGCTCAGGAGCAAGCAAATATCACATTAATTAATTTTATAAAAATGGTGGAGGGGAAGGGAATAACAACTTCCTTGGGAAATTAAAAAATGGCGTCCAATCTGATGAGCCTGTTCTGTCTTAACAAAGATGATAGACTCGACTCATTATGTTCTACCGCATTGCTACAGAATGATTTCCTCATTTTTTTTTTTGTTTTTCAATTGATGATTTCATAGTTCAACTGACGAACATTGATGTACACACGTAGCAATGTCTTTCGCTCCTATCTGATAAATTCGAAAAAATATTGGTTTAATCATTTAAATCTTTGAACTGTTTTGTAATCCACTCTAATTATTTCCAGGAATGCATTCATCTGTCAGTGGGTGAATTTTTCTAAATGTACAGTTACGAAAGAAGCAACTGAAACTGAAGGTATTTATCATTTTATTCAATATTTTTGTATTGAATTAATAATTACTATTCGTTGGGTATGTCACCTTCTTTAATTATGTGTTTATTTGAAAACTTAGTGAACTTGGGATAAAATTTGAAGAGATCTTCATGAAAAAGGATTAACCTCATAATTACTCATTCAGAAGATGCATGGTTAACAGAATGACATATACACAGAGCTATTACACGTTTACTTATTCTTGGAATATCTGCAATGATGCATTACTAGTATTGAATCCATATGTGTAAAATTCAATGTTTCGTCACTACCACTGAGTTGAAATCACAAATTCAGATTCACATTTTCCCAAACTATTGCAAATCCAATTGAACGTAATTCATTTTCAGACGCTGATCGGTGACACTGGCCTAATCACGTTCACCAATTGAATACAGGTGATTATTCTGTAAATATTCAAACTGTTTCAAAAATCTAATGTAGGGTGAACAGGTCAATTGTTGGACGGTGAAGGGAAATTCTAGTTTCGTGGTAGGATCTAAATTTTAATAACAAAACAAAGAATACAGTGGACTCTGGTTAGAGTCGACTGTTTTACGGGATAGGGGAAGCGAATTCGACTCTATTTCCCTGCCCCCACTACGCGCTCTCGCCGAGCCCGACTTCCGAGAACTGGGAACGATAAAATGAAAAATACTATTTCTTTTCTCTCTCAATTCAACACTTTATTTTAATGATAAACTTTAGTTCACAGCTTCAACTATAATAGCAATATTCATATAGATTCAGACGATTTTTTTATTATCAATATTTTTAATTTCATTGACTATATTTGATCACAGAAGCTTTGTACCTAACATTCCATAGAACAGATATTTCTTCTGGAGTTAACGAACCATGTGAATTAAAAATGTTACAGTCGTTTTCTTTACCTCGCTTCATTATTTTATTTAATCCAATTTCGAATTAATTTTATGCCAACAAAACGAGATCCTCCCCCCATGACAGCCAGAAGTGGACTAAATTTTTTGATCGACAATTCAAATGCAGAATATTTTATTTTTCGTCTTTACTCGAATCGGAAGACAATAGCAATTTGAAGAAAATATTGGAGTGTTTACTCTCCGGCTTGCGTGGGGACAGAGTGGGGGAAGCGCTCGAGCGGCGAGAAAAAAAAATGGAGGGAAGTTTGACACTAACCAATATGCCTCTAACCAGAGTCCACTGTAATTAAATTAAGAAATAGTTGAATGCAACTGAAACCCCTAATTTCTGGACGATTGAGCCATATTTTTTTTATAATTTATTAAATGTCCATCAATAGAAACAAGTAGGGTAGAACTCCTGTTCGGTAGAAGCCATGTAACTGTTTCTTCATGTGTTTTTAGGCTTTTTTTCTACCAATTCCATTGATAATAAGCTTCCGAATGGATCCGTAGCAATTCCAATTTCAAAAATTAGAATTGGCAATTCCACGGATGCGTCACGCCTTTTTGTATTTCTTTTTATTATCTTTTTCGCCACAAAATCTTTGATAAATATTCATTTATTATGAAACCGACTAATATTTAACAATATGATATAAAATAGAAATGAGCATAATTTAATGTTGAACGACTTTTTTAATTATTCAGACGTGAAAATCATCGATAAAGTGACGATGTGTCATTTTTTAGAAAAAAACGATTTTTAGATAAATGGCTTTATGCCACGATGTACTGCACCGATCGACCAAAATTTTGTACAGAAATGAGACCCGATAATACTGATTAGTAGCCAGAATATTCAAACTTCTACGCGGATTACGGGACGTCAAATCCATTATGAGATGAAAAAATTGAAAAACGTGAATATCTCGGAAACTTTATATGGATGGGTATTCATATTATGATTGATTTCGATAGGTGCCAACAAGACGAGTATTTTGAAAAAAAAATTGAAATCGGACTAGTATTTTAGGAGATATTGAGCAAAACAGTTTTTCACAAAAAGTGGAATATCTTCTAAATCACTTGTTCGATTTCGCCTACTCACGAACTCATAATGTAATGTCATAAGAGCTATAATCTCACCGAATTTCAATATCCTATCTCAATTTTTTCGGTAGTTATCGTGTATACATCAATTTTATCATAAAAATGACAAATGTCAATTATTATCAAACTGTCCCTAGTTTCGTATGGATATTATGGCTTGATTTGATAAATATTATCACAAGAGACACCTTGACGTGACAAAAATTAAATTAGGTCGCGTAGTTTTTGAGATATTGAGGAAAAACGATTTTTGAGAAATTGCTGTATCTCAAAAACTACTTGACTAATTGCACTGAAACAGCGCCCAGAGCTGCTCCCAAATGATAGTAATTATGTGTCAAAATTTCAGATTTATAGCTGCAACTTAACTTGTTTTTGCTTCCGAATGGAAGCATTGTAATCGTGCTGTTTTCACATTCACAGTCAATGTCCATCGCCACCTTTCCGGTGGTCAATTTTTGGAAAATTGAGTAATTAATTGGCTAAACTTATTCCAAAAAATCTGAAATTTTGTCAGATTATAAACCTTAACAAGGACTATGTGCAAAAGTTTCACCCGATTGATCAAATAGTTTTTCAGAAAAAGCTATTCGTTTTTAAATCGTTTTTCGCTAATATCTTCGAAGCTAGTCAACCGATTAAAATTTTTTTTTTCAAAATATTCGTTTCGATGCCTTCTATCCGAATCAATCAAAACATATACCCGTTCATACAAAGTTTTCGAGATATTTCCATTTTTCCGTTTTTTCATTAAAAAAATCCTTATAATCACTCTAGCTTGTGCAAAAATTGAGATATCAACTTGAAATTTGTACAGAATCTTCCTCTCGTGATAACAATACTTCCTATTGAAAATGAACTTAATCGCATAGGTAGTTTCCAAGATATTCGACTTTCTCTGAAAACCTTTCATGTGCAATAGCTTAAAAACTACGCAACCGATTTCAATTTTTTTTTTTCAAAATATTTGTTTCAATGCCTTCTATCCCATTCGGAAGCTTACTACCAATGGAATTGGTAGAAATGAAAGAAAGAAAAAGAGTTATAACACATAAAGTAACGGTCAAATGGCTTCGGCCAAAAAGGCTCGAACCCCGGCTTGTTTTTGTTGAGATTTATAAAAAAAAAATGCGAAAAATCTGCACGCACATGCGGACATACATTCACACATTTTCTAAAAACATCATATCTTCACGTTTCATGACATTCTACATGATTTACAAACAAAATTAGAAGATCGTAAAAATGACCAATTCAAGGCTTCCATTCGGAAGCAAAATTAATTGATCACATGATTATACACAAGTAATATTATTGAAAGGTCAAATAATCAGTAAAATTTTCATTTCATTTATGGAATATTCAATCAATACAAGTTGAAATCGTCCAGAAACAAATCCCCGTCCAGAAATTGACCTGTTTACCTTATGGAACCTTTACTGATGAAATATGCAACTGAATCTATCATGATTATTCAATTATTAGCTCTAACTGATATACTTATATCATTAATGATTATACCATAGGGGCGCAACTATTGAAAGTGATAAACATGAGTTAATTTACTGTTTCAGATCAAGGTGTTGCGTGCTGATGTTCATGTTCATCCGAAAATTTTTTGAATTCAATGAATTTGATAATAAAGAAAAGTTTTTATTGTTAAAAAAACTTGAAACACTAATTTTTATTTACTTGAATTTTCTATTATATTTGTTGATTTTCAATACTTTGTACATGTTATATCGTTTTTCAATACACAAAATAGCATATTTCTGACCTAGGAAAGTAAATTAAAGAAGTCATGTACACAAATGGTGTTAAGTCTCGGCATAGGCGCAGCTTTCCCTCCCGTAAAGCCTTGCGCCCGCGCGGGGTAAAATAGTATATTTCGTAACGAGTGCAAAAAAGTGTTTAATCTAAAAAACTAAAGCTTAAACTAAAAAACATTTTTTCACGAGTTACGAACAATATTTTTCATCACAATGTGGCGGAAATTGGACTTTTAGGCACGCGGAGCGTGCCGAAAAGTTCACTTTTCGTCACAGCGTGATGAAAAAAGTATTAATTGATTTTATTTGTAAGTTGAGATTTGCATTCTAATTTCCTACTTGATCTTTCAACGGAAGAATACTGTTCGATGTCACGGTGGCTTGGTTACTGACCCCTGCTAACCAATACTTTAATGACTGAACAATGGTTTTGCTTTTGGTTCAAGTCAAAAAGCGAGTATGGTTGAAAAATGTCTGTCAGAAATTGGGGGTGGAAAAATTGTGTAAACAAAGCTAAAAGAAGGGATCTTTGCAATGACCGCGGAGGCCCTCGTTCCGTAGATTTCCCATCATTGTAAAATTTAATAAAGCGAATCTCCGACAAACAGCTTCGGAGTAACATTTAACATGTGATCGGTGCGTAATCGTTTTTCTGGGTCTTTCTCCTCCGCTTACGCAAGTTTGTATTATCAAGCAATTAATTGACAAAAATAACTGATATTTCTGAATTTGATTTAAACAATAGAGGAATTTTTTCTACCGTAACAGTTATAATGCCGATTATTTGTTAATAGTTTATCACTGGAATCCTTTTTTTTCGCAAACCTGAAAAAATGAATAAATAATGAATTTCAAAAATGCTTGATTTGTTAACAGGAGACCACACTAATATTTTGAAATCGCAAGTGCCTTTACCTATCGCGCTGAGTTTACTTCTTCAATTTTAATGTAGCGATAAGCAGAGGTTCGAGCTTTTTTGGTAGAAGCCTCCTGACTGTTTCTTTATGTGTTATGGCTTTTTTTGAGCCATAACACATAAAGAAACTGAACAATAGGTTCAGCTGTTGAGCTTCCGGTGCTAATGGAACCATTGGTACTAATGGAATTGTACCAATTCTATATTAAGAAAATGGAAACACTAATTCCGTTCACATTAGATATCACCAATATTGCAAAAAAAATCTGCCTGCTGATTCGAAAACAATACATCCCAATATATCTTTACAATACAATATATCTTTTTCATCCCGGCGGATGCAAAGTACACATTTCCCTCCCGCTTAGTGTAATTCCGCATGTGAGCACGACTCCTTTATTTTACCTCCTTAGGTTAAAAATATACTATTCTCGAGAATTTGAAATGGTTTCCATGTATATCACATAAAGATTCGTCACTCCATTAGATTGGAATCTTTTTTTATCAAAAGATTCCAATCTAATGGAGTGACAAATCTTTCTTATCTCGATTTTATTTTGACTTATCGCACGTACAAGGAATTTAGGAAAAATCGGAGATATCTCGACAACTTTGTACGAACCATATTTTGATTTAGATGGAAGACATCGAGACGAGTATTTCGAAAAAAATGAACCGGTCAAGTAGTTTTCGAGATATTGACCAAAATAGTTTTATACAAAAAATTGAACATCTTAGGAACTATTGGACTGATCTGGCTGAAATTGTGCCCCGAACTTGAGCATAATAGTGCCAACTATGGGTCAAAATTTCACATCCACATCAATGAATTTTCCCTTATTAATGTGATATTTTCTAAAAAGTGATAACCCAAAAACCGAACTATCAGACTTGGACTGTATGACATTTTCTAAAAATATAATTTCTTCATGTTTCATAACATTCTACATCATTTCCAGGCAAAATTAGAGACTATCAATATCCGACGAATACAATGCTTCCATTCGGAAGCAATCTGTATACAAATATAGCTGAATTTTCTTAATGTTTACTTTTTCATCACGCTGTGACAAAAAGTGAACTTTTCGGCACGCTCCGCGCACCTAAAAGTCCAATTTCCTCCACATTGTGATGAAAAATATTGTTCGTAACTCGTGAAAAAATGTTTTTTAGCTCGTGGGATTATATCACGCGCCTTCGGCTCGTGACATAAACCTCCCACTTGCCACAAAAAAACACTTTTTTGCATTCGTTACGAAATATACTATTTCAGTTTTTAGATTTTTTTTCTCAACATTAGCTGAAAAACTCGAAAAACAAATTTTTTATCATTTACTTACATTCATTTTATAGTTAAAACTGAAGTGTGGAAACTTATCAACACCATGGATAAAGGCCCCTGCGGTTTCTAAAATTCAGTGCGATCTGCCCTTAATTTTATAGAATTAATTATTTTAAGCATGGATAGCAATCGGATAGAGCAGGAAGTCTGCTGTATTCTTCATTTAAGTATGTGATTGATCAGGTGAACGATTGTTGAGCTCTGCTACTCCTAACAGCACCACGCATGGAATTTCAACCGGAAAGTTCCAAAATATTACTACCGGGAGAATTTTCAACGGACTATGCTCAATTTTGAAAGACCTCAATCGGGAAAGGGACTCCTATATTCCTGATGGATATATCCAGAGGATATGAGGATAGAAAATAAACTATGAAATAGTTTTAAAAATAATAGTTTTAGAATAATTTATGAGAATGCAATAACTTAAGTTATTTAGAATTTTTTTCGTAAATTCATAGATAAACCTTCACCAGTCATTATGCGCGCATGCCATTTTCTCTCAAGTAATGCTAGTCAACCTATAGGTCGTCTCTGGAGTGCGAGTGAGATACTAAAAAGAGCGCGCATACTGACGGGTTAAGGGGTCTCCTCAGTAGCGTAAAACGGTGATAGGCGCGCGGGTGAGTGGAGCGTAAAATGGTTAAGTTAGTGAGGTTATTTTCGAGAGAGACGAAACATCAAACATGGCGTGCGTTGGATAGTGACAGACATCACGCCAGTTATTTTTATCGTTAATTTATTCAACAAATTACTGGCAAAACTCGATGAGACTTCATTCCCTTATTTTTGAGAGTTTAATATAAATTAATATAGCTTCCTTTGTAGGCTAGCACATTGTCAACAGGGTGAGGGGTAAGGGACAAAATTTCGTTCTTAAAACCCATGTATAAGCAGAAATTCGAATGATTAATTGAAAACGAATGAAACAATAAAACTACTCAGAGTTTTATTACAATTTTCCTTTTACCATTTTTGATTATTATATTACATATTCAATTCGCTAGCACATTGTCGTTTTGTGGCGAAAATTACTGAGGAGACCCCTTAACCACTTCGGCCACCGTCCTCGGTACTTGGGGGCCTATTCTCGAAATATTTCCGTGCACGGTAGTGGCTTCGTAGACGAATTGCGTATAGGAATCATATAGGCGTTCCGTCAACGGAGTCGATTCCGCGCACGAAAATATTTCGAGAATAGGCCCCTTGGCTGTTTCTCTGTACCTATATTATAAAAATCCACATCGATTTCTGGGGATAAAAATTTAGTACTGAAAGTGAAAACACCAAAATTAAGGGTCGCAACATTCAGAGTCACGAGATGAAGGGTCACAAAGGTCAGATTAAGGGTCCAAATAAAGGACATGGCGGTCCAAAACCAAGGGTAAAAAACTAAGGATCACAAGGGTCCCAATATCTGTCTATTATAGTAAAAATCCAAGTCGACTTTTGGTGATGAAAATTTGCTGCTTAAAATTAAGACTCCAAAATTTAGGGTTAGAAATGAAGGGTCAAAATAAGGGTCACGAGAGTTAGATTAAGGGTCACAAGGGTCAGAAGAAGGATCATGGGGGTTGGCGAGCGGAGCGAGCAGGGGGCGGAGCCCCCTAGTATTTTATAAATTTAGAATTCCATCACGTTCGCATGAACTCAACAAAATCAATTTTGGTTGGTTCAAAATAGACAATTCTTGAGCGAAGAAAATCGGCTGATAAGAAACTTACGGATTGATACTATCACATAGACGTTTCAATTTTTTTTGCTCACTGGATGCGCCTGATTTTGAACCAAAAAATGTATGAATTCAAAGTTTCTAAAAAAAGTTTTTCTTCTGACATTACTGTCGCTGAGCATTGTCGATTATCAAATACTACCGCTTTGCTAGAAGGAAACAAAACATAACCCTCTATTGGTTGTCTACCGACCAATCACGATGACCCCCTAACACAGTGAAATCTCCGGCGTCTCTACCCGGTACCGGCCAATAACGATCCTCGTAAAATGCCAAACCCAGCCAATCCCATCTCCCAAATGTGTAACAATACCATCTACTGGAAGTTATTAGATTGAGCCCCGACTATATTATTACAACTTTATGTTCATTTGATTAAAACCTGTCAAATAATTGCGTGTTTTTTTCCATTGTTGTTCCTTGCTCCACTGCAATCGTGACTCACTCGTCACACCCTTGCACTACAAACCCCCGCAGTCACCATACTGCGTAAAAAAAGCACGGACAATCGACAGTGACGAATAAATAAAAAAATAACAGGGAAGGGAATGAGTTACATGGATACATTTGACGTTTAACGTTATCACGGAGATTGTAGACAGGTGTGTTCCAGTATTGCAAGCGATACGAGGGTGATACGCCGTCATTGTAGACCCTAGTCATATGATCCAATGTGCAAGGTGTTTCTTTCATTCTCACTAACACCATTACCGTCATTATCGTAGAGACAACGTTGGGGGTCTAAGAACTTTCTTGCTGGAGTGAAGAACGAATCGAGCAATTTATTGTCACTATGTCGTTCTTCGGAGTCAATGTCAATCCGTTCTCGACCCCTGTGGGTCAGAGAATTGGTAAGTACATAAATAATAATTAGATAAATGATTGAATTCTTTGGAACAATCGCCTCTTCCAAAAAGTCAATTTTATTTTGTTTCTCATCCACTGAATTTTTTGAAGAACAAGCAACCGATGGAAGTTTACCGAGTGAAAATTGGGCCCTCAATATGGAAATATGTGATATAATAAATGAAACCGAAGATGGACCGAGAGATGCTATAAAAGCGATAAAACGAAGATTAACTCAAGCAGCTGGGAAAAACTACACCATTGTCATGTACACACTGACTGTGAGTAATCACTGAGTCACTCTTCTCTTCAATTATTACCTCGTTAATATTCATAATGAAAGATAAATCGTGGAATGTCATGAGCTGATTTATCTCATTCTGTTCATTGAATATGAATTCACGTTAGACCTTTTATTTTAGGAAATTCTCCAGTTATGAAAATAAATTATCGACATATTTTCCTAAAATTATTCGTTTCCGAAGTCATTAGATAATCAAGAAAAATTCTGAAGCATTATGTTTGAGTAGTATTCTAATGAACGTGCGTTAGAATTCAGAGTGTCCAAAAACTTAACACATTCCATATACAATTACAATGGAATAAACCTGAACTTTTCTGATATTTAATATCTGAGAATTATTCAAGTGAATGATCCCGGTATTTCGTGATATTTCAGCAATGTCTTGTTAATTATATGTGAATAATTTACTGTGAGTGTTGTAGAAAAATGGGAAATTTCATTCGTCTACAAGTAGGTTATTAATATTTAGCTGTGCTCATAAAATTGACCAACTCCAATTTCCCTACTTTATACTAATGTCCAGCAAGATCTTGCAAACTCAATGACTTCATCTAGGGAAAAAATCGTATAGGGATGTTCTATTGGACAGTCTTATAGGGCAATTCTATAGGGAACTCTATAGTTTGTTGTATGATATCCGGATAATTTCTATACACTGTTAATACAGAGGAACTCGTATAAGATGTCTATAAGAGTTGACACTTCGGAATTTTCACCGAATTTTCAAAAAAAAAAATGCAAAACTTGCATTTTCAAAATGATGTAACTTTTTTTTCTCATCTTTTTTTTCAGTAAATCTTAGAATGAAAACAAGTATTTTGAGCCGTCATACAAGTTGAGTTTCGTCCTGGATCCATTTGACTTTTAATTTTTTCTCCTCGAAATTCTGCGAATTTGGTCAAAACACCGCAAAACAATTTCGATTATGTACCAAAAAAATATGTAACATACAAGTATACATTTAAATTCATTTCATACTGTTTATAATCAAAGTCAATCAACGCCATTTTAGAGTAGGTTAACCAAATTCGTGGAATTTCAAGACTAAAAAATTGAAAACAAAATAGATCTAAGACGAAACCCAACTTCTATGACGGCTCAAAATACTTGTTTTGATTACAAGAGTTACTGAAAAAAAGATGAGAAAAATAAAACGTTACATAATTTTGAAAATTCGGTATTATGACTACCTAGGGGTTGGCAAAAAATACTCAAAATATTCTTATAGATGGTAGAAAATCGGAAATTTTGACGAGTCATAAATCTAAATCGGATAAATAGAATTGGAATTATTGAAAAAAAAAAAAAAGAAATAACGAAAAAATCATATCTCCGAAATCGGCTGTTAAAAAAATCTGAAAAAAATTGAGAGATAGTTTTTTTAGTCCCCCAATCGTAGAAAAAATCGAGATTAATTTCCAAGCGGGTGAGGGTCAGCCGTTGACTCATTTGACATGGAATACCTCATATAAATGTCCTATGAAACATCTCTATGCGATTTTTTCATACGTGTTCCCTAGAATTCTGGGAATTTTGTATTGAAAAATACGAATAGAAGTTTTGAACGGTGCACTATTCTTCAGTTTTAATTGTAATGATTTATTTCAGGTACTAGAGACATGTGTGAAAAATTGTGGCAAACGTTTTCATAGCTTGGCGTGTTCAAGAGAATTCGCTGGGGATTTGGTGAAACTCATTGGACCAAAGAACGAACCGCCTACTGCAGTGCAGGAAAAAGTATTGAGCTTGATTCAGACGTGGGCTGATGCTTTCCGCCATCAGCCTCATACGCAGGGGGTAGTGCAAGTTTATCAGGAGTTGAAAGCCAAGGGAATTCAATTCCCCATGACTGATTTGGATGCCATGGCGCCTATACTCACGCCTGAGAGGGTGAATAAAATTTTACTGTTTAATCCGTATTCTTCATGAACTTTGAACAAATTGTGGGTTATTCATGAATTTATTCATATGATCTGTATGTTGTGGACTATAAATTTCTCGCGAAATTTCGAAGAAATTTTTTAATTTCGTAATTTCAACGTTTACCAATTCATGGGAATTCGATATTTATTCTGACAACTTTGGGTACTAATTCTTCACCACACAATGTGTATTGAGATAAGAAACATATTTATCTTATGTTTCATGCTCAGAATTGGCTGTGACAACAGTCGACATTTAGGAAACCTGAGACGCAATATGAACAAATTCATTATAACTTCCGCGTTTCCAAATATTTTTATATACATTTTTTAAATACATTCAGTTTCCTCACCACAACGATTAACGACCCCACTGCTTTTAGCCCTGATAGATGAAACCCAAAGTTAACTCTCGGTCATCTCTGGGTTTATGGAAAAAACCCAGCGAAGAAAGAGAGAAACTCTGGGAAATTTCCATCAAGCCAGAGTTAACCCAGAGTTAACTCTGGGTTTGATTCATCAGGGAAGTCATAGTTGTGTAAAAATTTCAGGAGCCCTGAATCAGTTTTGACACTGTAAAGTATTGATCACATATTTGTTCAATAATTCCAATTATGCAAAGGCTGTAAAAGCTAATTTCTTATAGATTTATTGAGTGATTCCAATGAATCTCGAGTGTATTATCATTTTGAGCTTTCGAGTATTTAAACCATTCTTTCTTTCACGTCTAGAGTGTTCCAGAGGTAACAACAGCTGCTCCTCTCCCCCAAGAGCGTCCAGCCTCTGCTACAGACTCAGCAGCAATTCCCATTCCGCCCACAGTGCAACCCCAAGTGACATCTCCAATTCGTCTCAAAGATCAGCATATTGCTAAACTACGAAGTGAACTCGAAGTTGTACAAGGAAACATGCGAGTTCTAGCTGAGATGATTCAACACTTGACTGAGCAGTGTCAGAATAATCAGCAGCCAGAGCAGGCTGATCTCGATTTACTCCACCAACTGTACTCTACATGTCGAGCCATGCAGGAACGAGTTGTGGAGCTCGTTGGAAAACTTGTTGACGATGAAATGACTGCTGAGCTGCTCCGCATAAACGACGAGCTAAATAATTTGTTCTTGAGATATTCGAGATTCACGAAGAATAAAGCTATACCTCCAGCTAGCGCTATTCTGGCTCAGGCCATTGGACATCCGCCAACAGGTAGTGAAATAACAGGAAAAAGGTCTGAACCCTCGCTTATCGATCTGGGGGACGCCGAAATTGCAGCCGGGCTTGATAAGCAAGTGTCAGAATTGGGTGAGCAAGGATAAATTCAGTGAATATTAATGACTTAAGAATATGCAAATTGTCAAATGATGCATGAAATTATTGAGGATATTATCATGGAAATATTTCGCCGCGAACAATTTCAGGGAAAAACGTCAAGAGAACGATTTTCTCCCAAACTCACTAGTTCTCTAGATGAATGCATAATTGAGCGGAGGAAAGACAACATCTAAACAAGCATGAAAGTGTGTGGGATTACGTGTTCTCTTTCCGTTCATAGTATTTTAGGAATCAAATACAAGTCATGCAATATTTATATTATGAAATAAGAATAATATGAAATAAAATTCTCAAATTTAATAGTAAAAACGGATAGAAGGGTCCAAGTTGAATGTAAAATCTGCGACGAATATCTGTGTGTTCATCTTGAAAACCAAGGATTCGGAGAGATCATGTTAAGAGATATTTTCTCTAGCTGCAGAACAGGCCTCTTAATATTTGCTCGTGAAATCTGTGCGATATAATTACCACATCATTACACGGATGAAAAATTTTAGGTAGAGGGATTGAGGTTGAGGAATTTCCATATAGAAAATATCGCGATAGAATACGCTGTAGGAAAAATCAAATCTCATTCATTTTTCTTATGAAATATTTTCCATTAAACATTTTTGTTGAAAAAAAACGCACAAAAGAAACACATTTTTCCAATAGAATCTGCGAAAAATTAATAGAGTTTACAATAGAGGTCATATAGAAATTTAATAGTATTTTCTAGCGAATACGATAAATTATCCAATTAAATTTGTTCGTACGGGTATTAATTACAAACATGATACATCAACTTTGCCAATCTTATGATTTGACTACTTCACTTGGAAGCATCGTGAATTTAAATTTTTCTCTCTACTTTAATTAATTCTATCAATACCATGGAGGTTTCTCTCTAAGTCTCTGGATTACATCATTCTTCACTAAGAGATTTTTTAAAATTTAAATTCACTTAAAGATTAATTTTTCAAATAATTTGGAATAGAAATTAAAGGCGATGACACTAGGACTAAAACAAAGGACAAAGACCACCCTGATAACGACGAATTCGACATGTTTGCCCAGTCTCGTAATGCAACATATGAAACAACGAAGAACAGGTAAATACAATTACTTTTTTCACACGTTTTTGGTATTGATAATTTCTTCCAATAACGACTGATTTGATCGGAAAATGCTGAAAGATCTTTTTCTGTATTGCTTCTCACGATTCCTCATCTGGGAATTAGTATTACATACTTCCCAAACTAGGAAACTTGGAAATCATTGTAAACAAATCTTGTCCCGGGGCTGTTGCGATGGGGTTCTTTGCTCGTGTGGTTAGCCAGTTCTCGCCTTCGGCTCGCCAACTCCACACGAATAAAAAATCCCATTGTAACAACCCGGAAAAATACTATTTTGAACCTGACGTAATATTCTACAAGATGAATTCTTTACTATTTCCTTTGTGTATCAGTCGTTATCGGAATGATTTCCTATCTAACAACGTTCAACTCCTAAAAAGACGAAAATTGTCTGAATTGTAATTTTTTAACGTTCCAGTGGAAGTAGATACGAAGATAACATGGAGGAATTGGATAGTAGTATAAGTACAGCACTAAAGAACCGTAATCTAAACCTTGGAGCATCTGGAGCCTCAAATTCTGTAGATTCTGATGTTGCTGCCCCCGTTGGAGCAAGAACTGTTTTGGTAAGTGAATAATTCATAATTTTATGTTTCCAAAATTTCAGACTTTCATAATCACTATCATACTGTGATATCGTTCTTGCTTTCACCTGTTAATACTTTCCATCACCACTTCTGCAAAAGAGAAATATTTTTATTATTTTCAATAGCCATCAGAAATAGGGGTGAGTGAGGTAAATTCGTCATTTTAAGATTATTCATATCTTCATCACTGAAGAATTCAACAAATTGAAGTTCCTTCATAGAATTTTGTGGTCGATTTTAGAAACCCCATTATCTCAAGAACAAGACATAACACACGAAAAAAATTAATCGAAAAACCTAGCGAAATCGCTAGAAAATTCTATTGGATTTCAATTGAACTTTCTATTAGTTTTTGGCCGATTCTATTGAAATGTTCAATAGAAAAGATTCAATCGAAAGTCAATAGAATTCGATTTTTCTATATAAATTATTCTCTTGGGATATTTTCTATAGTATTTCCTCGGGTCAAATTTTCCAAGTTTTTTCATTCTATTTTTTTTTCCTTCTCATTAAGAAAATCAAACTTAGAAAAACTTGGAAAATTTGAGCCGAGAAAATTCTATAGAAAATATCTCAATAGAATAAGTTTTACCGAAAAATTGAATTCTATTGACTTTTTCTATTGAATACTTTCTATTGAACATTTCCATAGAATCGGCCAAAAACTAATAAAAAGTTCAATGGAAATCCAATTCGAATTGTCTAACGATTTCGCTAGGTTTTTTTATTAAATTTGTTTTTCCGTGATTTCCCAAAGTAATTTTAGGAGACCTATTTTATAACTGACAAAATTTGTTATAAATAAATATCCGTATACTTTGCATTGAAAGCACTCATTACTGAAATCATTTTCCAGTAAAGGTTCCTTTTTAATGCGAAAGTGATTAAAACTAGAATGTCGTAATATAATGATCCAGAGTGTGTTAAATTTTTTATTATGTTTTTATATCATCTCTTGGAAGCCAAAAATTTCATTTCATTTTACCCCACTCTCCCCTGATATGTCCGTTTAGAATGGTGAAACGTCATACGTTCAAAATGAGTGACTTCACTAGAAAATACCGAGATACGTGTTGGAGAAATGTCGAACAAAAATGCCTCATGGCATTTTCTCCTAAAAGCCCTCCCTATTGACATAATACCATATGCAACAGAATGTGAAGAACTCATTTGTTCTGTATCGTTGCATCACTCCCCTTTCGATCTGCTAAATTTGCTCTTTTGTTTTGTTGACTTATTCATTATTTGTTTTTTTTTTAATTTCACAACGAACAAAAAAATGTATATAGCCAAATCGAGAGTCAGAGTTCACAGAAATGGCAGCTTGGCTCGATAATACAGTGAGTATCGTCAATTATGATTTTTTTTATTCAACTTTGGTTGAGTCTAATCATTTTTCATTACATGTTTGTTCTCGTTTCTCTCCGTCCACAAAGAACAATTGATTTATCTTCAAAGCAAAACCTGCAAGTCATTCATTGTTATTTTGTGCCCATTTAGATTATGAAGTGGTCAAAGAATCAAATGTCATGGAGTCGAGAATGCACTTGACGATTATTGAGCAAATTAATACAATCAACAGGTTCAGAATTGTTTTTTGCTATTTTTACCTCAAATTATTAATTTCCAGAATATTCGCAAAATGGTTTATAAGACATCAATTTCTATATACTTTGGGAGGAAGGGGTCTAGGAAAATCAATCAAGAGTTGTTTCTTTTTTGTCTCTTGACATTTCTCCTTCCTGCAACCTCAGATATTCACTGCTTTTTTTTCATTCACTATTATCCATCAAGTGTTTATTCCCGTTCCCCCTCGAACCATACAGAACAATTCCATCTATCTCAAGGAAAAAAAAACCGTAAGTCATTGATTGTTACTTGGTTGCACATTCACAGACAGCCAAAGAACACACTGGAGATCAAGAATCCTTGACATCATCAGAATTCGAGAGATTTTTGGCGGAACGCGCAGCAGCCGCTGACGCATTGCCAAATTTACCAACAGTTACAACTGCCCCAAGTACAACAACAACTGGAAATACAAATATTCAACGACAAATTAATAAAGATCAAGACAAATCATTATTTGCCCTCTAAACAATGCAATTTTATTTATCCGTCTATTGACTATTGTTACAAGTTTAAAAAAAAATATTATTTATATATTTTGAGAGAGAGAGAGAGAGAGAGAGAGAGAGAGAGAGAGAGAGAAAGGGAGGAAAAAAAATTGTTGCTTTCTGCTTTTACGTACTTATCAATTTTATTGTAATGCGCCCTATGACTAAAAACCAAATTAAATTATGAAAACAACTATGAAGGAAAAGTTAGTCTAATCATGAATCGATCAGTCTTAAATGATGAATTCTCTGTAATGTCATTACTATGAATAATCTAAGAGAATGAAATCTTTACACTTACCTAAAAAACCCTGGAAACAGGGGCAACACCCCAAAACTTAGTGGATAGATATAATACAAAATGGAAGAGCATTGTTTTTAAGTGTAACTGCTATGATTAATTAATTGTATATAAAAGAGTCTGCTGGACTACTTTTTATATAACTCAGTCCACTTATACCAATGCATAGCATATATCTCAGTAATGAAGTGGTAAAAGGATAAATGATAGTAAAATTCACAATGTACTTGATGATGATTCTGCAAATATACCTAAAACTGGTAGATTTGGAACGAAATTTCGAGAGACCTATTTAAAAGATCTTAGAAGTTCAAATCCAGTGGATTTTGAGATGTTGGCAAAAGAATCTAAACTGCAAATTCAAATTTTCAAATTATCACCTTTTACAATTTCGCTACCGAGTTTATTTCACGTGGAGTATATTTCAAAACCATTGTAACGTTTTGATTAATTAATTCGTATTTCAAAATTGTTGAAAAACATGGTAAAATGGAAAATTATTGTAGAAAAATAAATATAATATTATATTGAATACAAGAAACCGATATTTTATCATTAATTTATTGCTCAAATAGTGACATAGTGATCAACTATGTTTACCATCCTATCCCCCACAGTTTTGAATCTATTATTAGCCACTGAGGGCAAAGAATTTCGAAAAGGAAAATGTTATATAAGGGAGCAAAAAGTTGTAGGAGTGAGAAACGAAGAAAAAAAGTCAGAATTTCGAGGTCTGCGGCATTTTATTAGACTTTGTACCGTGGGAAACAAGGTTTTTCTTAATGGACATGCGGGCCAAATGAAACTTCACATACACTTACTACTACATGTACCGGATAGAGAATAAGACCATAGGATCCCAACGATTCTAGAACCTTATCAATCGTGTGTTTTACGCTTGCGTCAGAAAAACTCAAATTTTCACGCTCTAGTATAAACAGTTATTTTCGGGAAATTCTTTAATTGTTTATTATATACTCTGGTGTTTCATATAAAACATGTATACAGTGTCGAAAGGGCCAAGTAAAATTGTCGCCAAAACTCGGAGAGGTAAATTGAGAAAAAATGAAATACCAAAAAATGTTAAAGTGCAGTTGACGAAGAATTAGTGATAACAGCGTAGTGATTCGGGTGATTTTTCATGGTTTATTGCAGGAATTAATCAGAATTTGGAGAGACTCGAGACGTTGAGAGATTTAACAAGGAAGGCTGATCCTGCTGAGGAGGAAATCAACGGTGACGAAATTCCCCGGTGAGTTTTCGGAACTTATCGTAACCATAACCTCAAATTTTCAAAGTTTTTTCGTTCTAGAGGATTAATTAACAAGTTTTGAATGGTGACATTACTTAATTTATGTTTTTTATCGTAGACAAGCACCAAAACCTGTATTCAATGTGAATGGCAGATCGAAATTGTGCTCCACGAGGCAACACAGGATACAGGAGGTTATCACACCTCAGCACGAGGAGCTCATTAAATTTGTGTATGAGTGTAAGTTCAAATGATTTTTCAATAGTGAAGCAGTGGAAATAACTAGTTTATATATTTTCTCTTTAATTATTTCATTTTTCTTTTCATTTACACATTTTGAAATTTGTACAGAAGTCATACTCCAATTTTACTCATTTTTTTTTAACTTTAAACTGAAAGTTGTAGTTTTGTCAATGCACAAGTCTGTAACTCTTTTCTGTTTCATGACTGAATTCTGTAATGATCATTTTTTTTGTAAATATCTTGAGAATTTTCGGCGTTTTTTTGTTAACCTGGTATAATGCTAGAGCTATATCTAGAAGTCCTCAATTATACAATTTCATTCATTCGACATTGAATCAAGAATTATCCATTTATATTCATTCACCAGCTTGGAGCCAAGTGGATGGTAATCGCAGTAGGAAAGAGATAACAGAGCAACCTCACGAGTTGGAGGGCTCCTCGAGCCTATACTACAACGATGGTGAGCCTAACGGTATTCTACAAGGTAATAATTACTCATTCACTCAGTAAACGATAACGAATTAAAATGAAAATGATTAAAAGTTATTTATTCTGGTTTTCGCAGACTTTAAACCGTTCGACCTCGAGTCATGGTGGGGTAAAAGGTTGTTCAATAACATCACAAAGTCTCTGTGAGAATTAAACAACAGGGAGAGCCATAGAAACTCAAAAATAAGTCTTCGTGCATTTTTTTCAAAATATGCCACAAGGACATCCTCGAAAGAACAATTGTTTTTTTTACCAGACTATTAATGAGAAATGATAGTGATTATGTAATTGATGTGTGCTCCAGTTGCATGATAGCACAAACGAGAGATTTTTTTATATATATATTTGAATAATTGTAAGATTACATCCGTTGCTGTATTGTTAGTAAATGAGTAATCATTATTATTATTTCTTCTGTTATGTTGACGATATCAATATGATAAATGAATCGAATCGAATTACATCTGGGGATTGCAGTTCTGAAATTATCTCGTGTAAAAATTTACTTGAGGATCAATCCTTCAAGTCATAAAAAAATAGCTTTTGACATTTATTCTTAAAACCAATGGTTTTTTAAATGACTGAATAATTTTGAAAATATCTTTGGTGATACAGAGAAAAATACAAGAAACCTTTGTGAAAAATTTCATGGCCTATAACGGAGGCCTGAAATTTTCTTCCGAACCTACTCTTTAACGAGATATCTCCTATTTTATACCAGTTCACTGCTGAAATATCATCGATTTAAAATGCGAAATGGTTCCAATTAGCTACCATACCTAATAAAAAATTACTTATCAAATTCAATTGTCATCAAGTCTGTAAAAGCTGCGCAGTTATAAAAACGAAAAAAAATAGAAAAACAAATTTTTTTAGTATATCTTTGTAGACTGAATATTTTTAAGATTGTTGTTATATCGTTGAGAGCATCGAGCGGAAATCTCGATGAATGAAAAATAAACTTACCACGTGAGGAGAATTAATTGCGATTGACTCGCAACGCAAGAAAAACCATTCATTATTGTAGTCCATACTTAGTGCAATATATTTACTATAAAACAGCAAGAGATGTCAATTTATCACTAATTCATGGAGTTTCATTCGGTTAGATTCTCCAAAAAGTCAAATGAAAAGTCCCCCAGTTGTTATTTCAATATAAATATATCTTTGTACGCTGGAAAAAAGTGTCTTACTATACTTTTTGAGTCTGTGAAATGATTTTGCTAGTTTTGATTTAAATTATTTGATTGGCTAATTTTTTTTACTGGATGTGAATGTCATTATCCTATCATAATAATCTGTAGTCATTTGCGAACGACAGGGTGGGGGAATGAGCTGAGGTGTAGTTTTGTTTATAGGTTAGGTATGAAAAAACCTTTTGGTTTATTGTTAACAATGACCTTTGATCTTTAAATTGGATAGATTTTTCTTCAATATTTCATTGAATTAGGTGCCGAGGAATGACAAATAGGTCGTCTCGATGAGAAAGAAACGTAGAAAATATCGTGAAAATGAACGCAGTTATTGGGATGTGCACATTCTGTGAGGTGCATGGACCGAGGGTCATATTTACGACGCAAACTTACAAAACTTACGACAAAGATGATAAAGAGAGCAGGAAGTTGAAGTTTTATGGACCCAGAGAGATTCTAGAGGAGACTGACAGGAGAAGGTTGACAGGTGCTGGAGGTCAGAGGAAGGAGTGCGATGGATGTGAGAGCCTAGGGAATGTTAAGTACTTGAGCAATGATCATGAGAGCAGAACGTCATTCGTGTCTGCCAGACAGCCACTGACTGCGGACGTTACTAATCTGCTTGCACATGCTTGCATCAGGTATTTTCACGATGTTTCAAGAATTCTGATGAGGTTTTTAAACACAGAATGAAGGACAAGAGGGGGAAAATGACAACGACATTTCAGTAAGAGTTCTTCATTCATTTATTCATGTTGATGATTTATTTTGATTTTTTTAGAAGCTTGAGCTGCGAACTTCATCTGGGAAAAAATGGAGTTTGTTATTTTGGGGATGAGGCGCGAGGTCATGTGCTTAGTCATGCCTTTACTCTGAAAGATGCACAGGTAAAAGCTTCTATCGATTTGAAAATGGAAAGTGACAGAACAATGGAAGTATGGAGATGATCAGAAGAAAATCTGTCAACATGTCCTGTAAATAGCTTGAGAACTGTTGGATTTAGAAAAACTTTCTTTACCTTGAAGAATTTATTCGAATTTATCTCTTTCCACACTGCGAGAAAAAAGAGAGAAAAAAAAGATATTCTTAAACAAGTTTTGTTTGAATAACAAAAATTGCAAGTGGCAAATTACCGCGTTCAAAATTGTTTCGTTTTAATTTTAAGAACGAAATATTGGGATTAAGGAGCGGATGTCGTCACGCGAGAAGGTATATTTTCGATTACATGTCAAAATGACACATGTAAATGTTAACTCAAACAAATTCAATACACATTTATCACAATTTCAACACACTCTTGGAAATCAATAAATATTTGTCTTCTGCATGAGAATTCATTTAATGAAAAATCAAAATAATATGAACAACAAGACAGTAAATTTTCTTAATAAATGAGAACATATAAATCAGTAAATCGGAACATTCAATAAATTGATATCAAATTACAGTTAAACTAATCACAACAAAATAATATCTCATACTATACAACCCTTCACAGTTTCTTTGAAATCAACTCCCAATACTCATAATCACAAAAAATATCATCAAAACAATACTAATTCGAATCCCAACGAACGCGCTGCCCAAGTGTCCAACAATAAAAATAAATACGATGAAGAACTACAACACGTTAGAATAAATCAACGATATAAACCTCTCAATCGTCTTTGTGTCTAATCAAGCCACAAATTCAAATATTGCTGGCTTGAGCAGTTACTAATCCCTCAATTATTATCACAAGTAGGGATTATTGAGGTGACACAAAACTTCAAATACACACACACACACTACTACACACGTGTTAAATTTGTATAGGAGAGAGTGGAGCAAAATGAAGCAGTCGAAAAACAACTGGTTAACGCAATTCAAGCAAAACAATTTTTTTTTATTAAATACTTTTTTTTATTAGTTTTTGTTTATTAACTTTTTTAGTCTTGGGAGTATTAATGAGAGTAATAATTTTCCATTCTACTGAAAAATATTAAGAATTATAATTATTATGATTATTTTGAATTATTGAGATGTTTTGACGGGAGAAGATTTTGTCAATGGATTAATTGAAAAGAAAATGAAACAGCAAAATTCAAAGTCCAGAGCAAGGCCCAGGGGGAGACTCAGAGGGTGGAAAAGAAAAATGTGAAGCTGAATTTCAATTTTCGGTGAAAAAAGAAAAGTGTAATCGGCCTAATCTAATGATTGAATTGTAATCAATTTAATTATAAGACAAATAAAAAATTATCGTTCTCATCCGTACTCCCGATAGTAAAAAAAGTTGATAAACAAAAGTTAATAAAAAAATTTTTTTTTGCTTGAATTGTGTCAAATAGTCGTTTTTCGGCTGTTTCATTCTGCCCCACCCTCTCCTACGTTAAATTGTCAACTGTTGAAAATGCATGTATTAAATCTGTGTTGAAATTTACGTGTGTTATTTTGACTGGTAACCGTATTTTCAGGATGAAAACATCTCTCATAAAGTTAAGTTAAATCATCAAGAAATATGTCATGTTTTGATATGTAAATGTTTTTTTTCATGTTCAAGGAAAATTCTGTAATTTTTTCGGGTGACAGCAGAACATACAAAACCAACTTTTCTAACGTTGCAAAAAAATTAATCGCAAGAGTCTCGGCAGAAATCAATAAACTAATTTTTCCTTATACACGGGCTCTTGTAAAATTTATGTTCAAATTGATAATTCACCTACTAAAAGACTCTAAAAGTAGAAATAAAAACAAGCAGGAGTTCGAGCCTTTTTGGCTGAAGCCATCTGACCGTTACTTTATGTGTTATAACTCTTTTTCTTTCTTTCATTTCTACTAATTCCATTGGTAGTAAGCTTCCGAATGGGATAGAAGGCATTCGGATAAAAGGCATCAAAACAAATATTTTGAAAAAAAAATTGAAATGGGTTGCGTAGTTTTTAAGCTATTGCACATAAAATGTTTTCAGAGAAAGTCAAATATCTCGGAAACTACTCATGCGATTGAGCTCATTCTCAATAGGAAGGATTGTTATCATGAGAGGAAGATTCTGTCCAAATTTCAAGTTGATATCTCAATTTTGTACAAGCTAGAGTGATTACCAGGATTTTTATGAAAAAACAGAAAAATGGAAATATCTCGAAAACTTTGTATGAACGGGTATATATGTTTTGATTGATTCGGATAGAAGGCATCGAAACGAATATTTTGAAAAAAAAAATTTTAATCGGTTGACTAGCTTCGAAGATATTAGCGAAAAACTATTTAAAAACGAATAGCTTTTTCTGAAAAACTATTTGATCAATCGGGTGAAACTTTTGCACATAGTTAGTCCTTGTTAAGGTTTATAATCTGACAAAATTTCAGATTTTTTGGAATAAGTTTAGCCAATTAATTACTCAATTTTCCAAAAATTGACCACCGGAAAGGTGGCGATGGACATTGACATGGACAGACATGGTCGCCAAACTTCGTATTTTTACGTTTCAGACCATTCTACATCATTTCCAATCAAAATTAGAGAATGTGAAAACAGCACGATTACAATGCTTCCATTCGGAAGCAATAGAAGGTAATGTGTAAAATCATACTGAATCCAATGGCCATAGAAAAATCTGGGGTACCCGGGCAAAAAGAGGAAATATTTGAATGATTCTATCCCATATAAGTGCATGTTAGCGCATGCATTTGGTGCATTTTGTCTATTTTATTTCTAAATAATGAACATGGGTTGGTGGATTGAAATTTGTATCAAAGTGAAGGGAATATCTTCATCTCTCAGTTAAAAAATAAATAAAAATTTTTCTAAGTACTTGCGATTTTGGATATGTTTATCCTTAAGAATTAATTGCTTGTATTTGAGTATTGGATAGCTTGAACGAATAATTACTCTTTCTTTGTCTCATAAAACACACCTTCATCGGGAGACAATCTTGTGTGGTAGTGTAGTATTCTGCCGCTGCACTCCTTTCCATTTTTGATCTCAAACATTCTTCGAATGTTCAGCACGAGATTTTTTATTCTTGATAATTTGTGACTTTTTTTGACCAAATAAGAGTTGTTTGAGAACATGTTTTTGTTTCTCCCCGTGCACTATTTATAAAATAGTTTGAAAATTAAGTGTGGCCCCCTTTTCTCTTCTAATTTTGAAATTCAACGTAAATACAATTAAATGAATTCCTTCTAGGCTAGAGGTATACGAAGATCATGCAGTTTCATTGTTTTTATGAAGGACAAACAATTCTTGCTCAATATGTGGCCTTTTTTTGTGGATAATCTTCGGCAAGTTATTAAAGAGCTTCAGGACTTTGCTGAGAAGAAGTATAATGCTGATGAGAAAGCTAATCCCCAAAGAGCTGCCAGACTATCCTCAGCGAATGGGGGACTACATGCTAAGCGAGAAACTGCCAGAGGCATGCCTAGGGGTTTGCCAGAAATTACTAATGAGAAACACATTTTCGTTAGGTGATTCTGATTTTCAATTTTAATATCAAATCTGCGTCCTTGTGGCGATTTGTGATTTCTTATAAAGTGGTGATTCCGGTAAATGTATCTATGCTCGTTCAGATGCCCTGTCACTATGCTCGTTCAGATGCCGGGAGCTATCACATTTTAATCATTTTGACAGTCCCAAAAGTCTATCAAGAGTGACATACGATTGAAGTTATTATTTTAGACACCAAGGAACAATGATTTATTGAAGAATAAGAGAGAAAAATCCTATTTACATCAACTTGTGCTGCGACAGAGTGAATTCTTCAGCCGCAAATTAAGAAACAATTTTTAAATGTTGATATCTCCGTTATAATAGTAAAATGAGATTAAAAATCCCTTGAGATGGTAGAAGATGGTTAACAAAACAATAAAATTGCATAAATTATAGTAATATCTTAATATTTCACGGAAATTTCGGCAATTAAAAGAATAGATACAATGGAAATGGCAGTGATCTTATGCTCGTTTTGCAACCAACTGTCAACTGGTAACGGACTAAGCGGATGGAAAAATCATTTGAAAGATTGAACTGTTCAATTGAAATGTAATTTTGTGCCTCGAGATATTGTTTAATGTTGTATTATTTCAAAAAGGATAGAGTGACAGCTCAAAAAGTGGCTCTCTTTAATTTTATAATCTTTACAATCGATTGCCCCTATTAAAACAAAAATCATAATCAAGAAGAATAACGGCCAATTTTTTTCTATACTATCTACCTTCTCATAAACGAAAAGTCTCCATTAAAAGGGATAACGGCCGGTAAAACCTAGAAATTGGACGGCCTCAAAAGCATAGAACATAGAACCAAATAGGATGCTCATATTGTAATTAGTTCGGATATAACCTTTCCATATAATTCAAATCACGAGACGAGCGAGCGTAGGGACATTAATTATCATCATTAATATAAGTGAATTCTAATCCTGAAATTTTTACTGTCTGATATGTAATTTAAAGCATCGCATCTTTACATTCATTTCAATAGAAATATTGGACTAATGAGTTAACCTTAGCTACACGAGCCGAGGATCATTTACCTTAAAGGAGAAATTATCAAGAGGCTGTTCATGTAGATGAAGTTTTAAAGCTGCAAATTAGCGTCTTTATATTCTCTCCTAATATCACTCTGCCTAATTCCACCTCTAAATATTGCATTGGAAGTTATTATCAGAATTTATTACTGGACAATTTATTAGTTTAGTCTATCCCAGTGCCGAAGCATCAGTTCTAATTCATTTCAGGACGTTTCATCACAAATAGGAATAGGGTGAACTGTACCAGTGTTCGAACGAATAAGAATCGTCAAATACCAATGATCGAAAGACCAAGATTCATTAATACGGGAAATTTTCAGCAGGTCTCATTGAACTCTTGAACATTAATATTCATATTAATCGTTCAATATTCATATTGGTTTTTAAAAAAGTCCCATTTCATTGCATTGAGCATTTATTCTACGATAAATATATACATTATTTCAACCACTGGGCGAGTTCTGACACTGTTGCTTTTACCCTATCTATACATATTATCGCGACAAAAAAGTACATGATCAGAACTATGAAAAAACAAAATATCATCATATTTTCGAGTACATCATAATCATTGCAGAGATAAGAAATATGTATTACAATAATAGTATTGCTACAGTCAGTAGTAGTAAACTAATAGACGATACACTGTTGCAGCAAATATGTTTCCAGTATACAAATATGTTTGAATGCATAATGACAATGATTAGTGGTCATTACAAAAATTGAATAGACACGATAAACAAAGATCACTGCAATAAATTGCATCGTATGAATATATTCCAATGAAATAAAAATGATAGTGAATCAGACAAGTAAATGATAATTCAGCGACTAACAATTACAACCCGTTATTGCCAAAAATTCCGAGTCTCAATTAATGGAGCTGTGCCAGAAAATAAAATTTTACAATATAACATGTGAAATCCCCCAATCAATAATAATTATGACCCGTCAAGCGCGAACATTCAAAAAATCTGATAAACAATTCTTTATGTTCTACACACACTAAGAATATATTTTCAAGTATAGATTGAAATTCGATGGAAAGAACACACGAAAATTCTAAGAGAATTAGAATTTAGAGAGAAAAAATTTCCGCTTCACCCAGCCGGGAATCGAACCCGGGTCTCCCAGATACGCGCCGGGCACTCTTACCGACTAAGCTACCGGGACACACAAAGGGCCCACTTTGTCGCTATGGAGTTATCTGTACTGCGATACTCTTAATAATATTACGCACATTTTAAGGGGAGATTACTATGAGTTTCAAAAATCGTGGGCTTTTGGAGTGAGATTTCTTATGAATTGAAGATCGAAACGAATAATTAGCGCAAAAATATTAATTATTTATTGTTATTTGCCCCACAGACGCTTAAAATGTTAAAAATAGTCCAGAGCCTACAATTTGTGAGCTACAGAGGGTTTTTTTCAAAATCTTTGAAAAAATGTATACAATAACAATTACGAGTTAGTTTTTTGAAACTCGAATCCTACACGGCTAATTTAGTTTTTGTTTAATATAAAAATTTGTGTCATTCATGTAAAATAGGCAGAAAAATTATCGCTAAAATATTTGAAATATATTCTTGATTCTTTCAGAAACATTTTTCGGGCTATTTTACATGAGTAGTGCAATTTGTTATTCCAAAAATTACGAACTTAGCTGTGTAGGAGTTGAATTTCAAAAAACTAATTCGTAATTGTTATTGCACACATTTTTTCAAAATTTTTTGAAAAGAAAATAAATCTCTGTAGCTTAAAAATTGGAGGCCCGGGACTATTTTTAACATTTTAAGCGTCTGCGGGCAAACCAGCAATAAACAATTTTTTTGCACTCATTATTCGCTTTTAGACATATATAATCGATCTTCAATGTATGATAAATCTCATGCCAATAGGCTGCAACTTTGAAAACTCATAGTAGTCTCCCCTTAAGTGGAAACGGAACCCTTGCGTTTATATGAATCTTCAGAATTGTGTTTTCTCCTGCAATTATTATTTTTTATTCATTAAACTACTTCATTGACTCAACAATGCGATAATCGAGTCGATAAAGTAATTTCATAGATAGAAATTAATAATTGTAGGAGAAAACACAATTCTAAGATTTGATGTAGACAAAGGGGTTCCGTCTCCCCTTAACCCTAGTCTGGTCACCAAACGCGACCTTGCGACTTGGTCACCTCCGCGGGGATTCGCCGCCGTGTTATTTAAGCTTTAGCGTTGCCGAATTCACTCTACACTACCCGGGCGCGTTTAACGAGTTTCCAGCAACGTCGCCTCATGGGCAATTTGATTTAACATGGGAAAAAATAATTCATCTGTCTGAAATAATTGGTTTTCTTTAGGAATTTTGGGAAATATATTGTTCTGAAAACTATTATAATTTTTTAGACACTTCAATTGACAAAGTCATTTTTTTTTCAATTTTTCCGGTTAGCCAGTCAATTGTAATTAAAGAAAAATGACGCGCGATGGGGTTTTCCTTATAGGGTGACCAATCCAGAGTTAAGGCAAAAATGACCATGAGAGTGAATGTTGCAGAAACAAAAACGTCAATATCTTTGAAAGTAGAATCGACAAAGTGGTTCCTTTTCATGCGGACGTTCACAAATAATGCTGTAATAAATTGTCCACACGGAGAGAAAAATACACCATAATTCCGTGAGAGTCCCTCCAAAAATTGGTGTGCTACTCACTAATGCTGGGACATAACAGGGGGTCACCAGAAAATTCGTATGTGGCACCCTAAGTTTTACGGGCATCGCGCGAGTAGTGGCGCAAGTCCCTCTAAAAATTGGGGTGCCACATTCGAATTTTTCGATGACCCCCTGTTATGTCCCAGCATCGATGAGTAGCACACTAATTTTTGAAACATTTTTTTCTCAGTGCATGTGATGAATATTTGTGATGAAATGACCAGTAACATCATAAACCTGTAATAAGTAGAGGTGATAGTACTTTCCATGAATGCATGATTAGCAGAACTATAAATTGCAAAATGTAATTAAACCTGAACAATTTCTTGATTTAGAATCCACATGTGGCTGGTCTGGATCTTAAGTGCAGGTGCTCGACACTTCGTTGAGTCCTCAGCAACACTCGACAGTGCACTATCAGGATTTCTCATCAGATATCAAGATTTTACTGAAAATCCCGAATTTTCTGAGATCTCAAAGAAAAAATTTGTTACTACGATTCTACGAGAAATTTCACAGCAAATGTCGAGGGAACACTTCAGACAACTTCTGTTTGCGTGTCTCACTGGGATTCAGATCGTTGTGAGAGGTCCAGATAGCCAGGCACGAGAGATTCTTTATGCTTTGAGCTCTCTGATTCCAAAGTCCTGCAGGAGGATCCAAATCGGCGCAGAGGAATATAAAGACATTAAAGAATGCAATTTCCTGGGTAAAAAAATTATTATCTAATGTAGAGATCATTTTACAAATATTTTGAAAAATATTGAAAGACCCGCTATGATTCAGAGATTTCTCTTCTGTGGATTAAATGTAATGTTGAATAGCGAATTATGGAATTCATAGAGAGCTATTCTGCGTATAGATCACAAAAAACTCTCGGTCTCCTCACATATCTTACTTTTCTCATTTCGTTAAATTTCTTTTGGCTGATTTTATAGATTTTATAATTTAATGACTTCCAGTGATTTCATGAAGCTTAATATTTATTTTTTTTATAATGAGGATTGGTAGAAAAATTCTGTGAGCATATTGGGAATCAGCAAAGTAAAGTCTTCCTAATGCGGGTAGAGTAAACAGGTCAATTTCTAGACGGGGGTTAATTTCTGGACGATTTCAACTCGCATTGAATATTCCATAAATAAAATGAAAATTGCACTGATTATTTCACCTTTAACTAATATTACACGGGTATAATCATGTGATCAATGATTTTTTCAATTGATCGACATTTAATAAATAAAGAAAATATGGCTCAGATGTCCAGGAATTAGGGGTTTTGGCTGCATTCAACTATTTCTTAATTTAATTATTCTTTGTTTCGTTATTTTGACTTCAGATAATTTTTCTGCTAATTAAAGTATTCTTGAAGGTATGGAAGCCGTCATATCCCCATGTAGGTGATTCTTTTATTTTAGATCCTACCACGAAACTTGAATTTCTCTTAACCATCCAGCAATTGGCCTGTTCATCCTAGTTTCGTCCGTTAAGGAAGGCAGGGGTGAAATTTTGTCGGATTGTGTTATGCAAATATTTTGAGAATAAATTATTTCAAGGAAATATGTTGACAGATCTTCTCCGTACTTCAATTTGCCAAAAAGATATTTTGGAATTTTCTGTCTGAATCCATCATTATTAAAATACTTGAGACTTGGTTGGCTTCCGGATGGATGCCGCGTTGCGTTTCAACATTGCGCCGACGTTTCGCAAACATTGCAGTCTGCATCTTCAGGGCTATGAGCTCCGATTCTGAGCTCCGATGTGTGGGGGCAGTCCTTATATACCTTCCCTTGTGGTGGTGGGGGAAGGGGAGGAGGGGGTCAGCCAATCATCTTTTTAATTGATCAGCTGGTCAATTCAAAAACCGGGAGGACGGTTTTCCAAATGGGGTTCACTTGATATCCTCTGTCCCTGTTGAGGTTGTTAGGGTTTTTATGGATCTCCAAACCCTCTCGGTATTTCCTTTCGAAATACCCTTGAGACTTGGCCAGCATTTTGGCTTGGTCGTAGTGGATAGTATGTCCAGTATCCATCCAGTGTTCAGCCAGGGCAGACTGTTCTAAGTGACCGTATTTGGAGCACCGCTGGTGTTCTTTGATCCGTGTACTGATCTTCCTCCCGGTTTCTCCAATGTACACTTTCCCGCATGAGCAAGGGATCTCGTACACTCCTGGTGTACTCAAGGCTGGTCTTGGATCCTTCGCGCTCGGCAGCATCTGTCCGATCTTCTTTGGGGGTTGGAAGATCGTTCGGATGTTATGTTTACCGAGTACTCTGCTGATGCGTTCTGTTGTGCCTCTCAGATAGGGGAGGAGGGCCATTTTAGGTCTTTCCTGGTTTTCCTCAGGAACAGTCTCCTCTTGGAGAGATGAGAGCTTGCTCTGTAGCTTTTGCTTGACCTTTCGAATTTGTTGGATGTTATACCCATTCGTGGTCAGAGCTGTCTCAAGATGTTCAACTTCACTGTCAACGTTTGAGGGTTGAGAAATTGTAAGTGCTCTATACATGAGAGAGCTGATAACGGAGTGTTTCTGGGAGGGGTGGTGATGGGAGGTAGCATTGAGATACCTGCCTGTGTGTGTTGGCTTGCGATATACTTGGTGGCCCAGAGTGCCATCCTCGTTGCGCCGAACCAGAACATCCAGAAAAGGAAGACATCTGTCCTGCTCAATTTCCATGGTGAACTTGATGCTCGTGTGCTGATTGTTCAAGAACTCCAGGAATTGAGTTAGACCAGTCTTCCCATGTGGCCAGATGACAAAGGTATCGTCCACATATCTGAACCACACAGAAGGTTTCTGAGGTGCTGACTTCAATACTTCGTTCTCAAAGTGTTCCATGAATATATTTGCAATAATCGGGGAGATGGGAGAACCCATTGCTGCTCCTGATTTTTGCTCATAGAATTCTCCTTCGAACTGAAAGTATGTAGAAGTCAGGCAGTGCTCAATTAAGGGAAGGAATTGGGAATAAATGTTATTGGAATTCTTGATGATTTCCAAGGTTTTTGAGATTGGGACGTTAGTGAAGAGTGATTCTACATCGAAACTAACTAAGATATCATCTGGAGAAGTCCGAAGATTTCTAAGTTTGTTGACGAAATCTAGTGAGTTCTGAATGTATGAACCGTTCAGGCCAGTCAACTTTTGGAGTGGTTTCGTGAGAAACTTGGCCAGCTGGTAAGTTGGCGCTCCAATGTTACTGACAATGGGACGGAGAGGAACAGACTATTTATGGATTTTGGGGAGTCCTTAGAGTCTAGGAGGGAAGGATTCTTTAGGAGTGAGGAATTTCGTCAAGTCAGCGGAGAGACCAGCCTTCTTCAGGAGATCAACAGTTTTTCGCTCAATTGTACGAGTAGGATCCTTCCTGAGCTTGACGTAAACTCTGGAGTCACCCAACATCGCACTGAGCTTACCGGAGTAGTCGTCCTTATCCATAACCACCGTGGCATTGCCTTTGTCTGCCGGAAGAATGATCAAATCATTATTTTCCTTTAGACTACGCAGTGCAAGGCGTTCCTCCCTGGTGATATTGTCACTAGGGGGGGTGGCCTTGTGGAGGATGTTGGACAACTTTCTCCGGATCTCGTTGCTGGTCTCCTGAGGAAGATGGTAAATCGCTGTCTCGGTGCGACTGATGATTTCCTCGGTGGGGATCTTTTTGGGGGCAACAGCGAAGTTGTGTCCTTTTGCCAACACAGATACTTGTGCTTCACTAAGCTCATATGTGCTCAGATTCTTCACAGTGTGAGTGAGGGTCGGGACTTTCTCCTGGGGGATCAACTTCCTGAACTTACCCCTCTGACTCTCAGTTCTCATCTCAGCTGTTCGGACTGCTTGTTCATTGGTAACACGATCAAGAGTCTCCCACAGCTGAGGTTCCAACTTCTGAGCCAGAAGCAGGTGAAGATCGAGGAGTTGTTTGGAGACTAAAATACTTGAGACTTTATTTCCAATTAATCACTTGAATTATCAACTTTTTATTTATCCACAGGTGTTGATACTCTCGTAGCCGTTCCAGTCCCGTCTCCCCATATCTGCAGACTCGACATAATCCCTGACGAGCACAAAACCACACACCCACGATCTCCAATTCTGAGGTGGACAGGAGAATTGCCCCAAAAATTGCCAACACTTGTGACTAAACTCGAAAAATATATTTACAATGAGAAACTCGAGCACAATGTATTACGAGCACAATTTATTGCTCTCCAGGAGGAATGGGCGAAGTAAGGCATATTCTTTAACATCACAATTATTATACAATTTCAACGATGAATCATAACATAATTAATTTATCATTTTTTGTTCTTTTCAATATGTTATCTAGTATCGCTAAAATTGTGCATGCAATGCGAGGACGCGGCCACCAGGGCGATCTCTCTGGTCTCATCATGAGTTTAGGTGCTGACAAACACGATCTAGGACTGATTGATTCTTGGTCGATGGGTCTTCCCTCAAATCCTGCGTGAACTGATGAATATATATAAATTTTTTTCGTTTCTATTCATTCTTTTTTTTTAATTTGGTTGTAATTATTTATTGAAGAAAAATATGATTTAAGAATTGAGAAGGCAAATTGTGCGAGCTTGTTAATACTTTTTCTCACGTTGATGCACACGTTGGAACTCTTGATTAAAGTTGGTTTTAAAAAATTTCAAGTCACATTTTTATTGGGAAAAAATGGCAACCTATTCACTTATTGTTCTTTAATTATTCATTAATTATTCTTCTCATGCGATAGGACATCAGCAGCTGCCTTCACCGCTGTAAAAAAGATTAATGATTCATACGTTATTACAAAAATCACAATGAAGTGGTAAAAAAAAGAGGAATGAGAAATAAATTTCCTAATTATGTCGCAAATACCTTCAAAAGTAACAGATGTAGGAAAGTTTGTCAGGAGACATTTTTTGCAAGAAAGTTAGATGTCTCGACATTGCAGACCTCTTCATTCCAGAGGTATTTGCGAAATAATAAGTTCAACATTTTCGAACATCTATTATCCTGTTTTTTGCAACTTCGTTGAAGAAATAAAAATTATAAAAGATAACATTAAACTTACCGGCATCACGGGCATTTGTCATGATGTTATCGACCTGTGGCTGGTATTGAATGAATTTTGGTCTGATGAAACGATGGTAAATGATGAGGGATCCATTGTAATCTATTGGGGCCATCAGCCAGACGTAGAAAACACACTGGATGAAAAAATGTATCCATTTATAAACAAATGCTGTTAATCAAAAGATGATTTAAAATAACAGAAATGAATGAGAAAAAATGGTCCGATGGTGGATTGGTAAGGTAGAAATCTCTAGAAAACAATCCTCCTATGATTATGCGAAGGAATTGAATTTGAATTCAATTCAACATCAAATAATTCATGACAATTCTCTTTCATTGAAATTTCTCATTTTAAGCGAAGCGATCATTTATATTTCAATGACGACTTGATTTTGAAAACTCATGGCAAAGCCTGTAATATAGTAAGAGCTAAAATCATAATCATAAGTAAAAAACAAATTTCAACTTTCTATCTCAATTGTTTCAAGCATTATCGTGTAAACATCGATTTTATCACAAAAATGAAAAATATCAATTACTAAAGGACTCCCCCTAGTTAGCTAGGTATATTATGGCCCAATTCGATAGATATTATCATAAGGAATATTTTGACGGCAAAAAAAGTTCATTTAATGTAGTAGTTTTTGAGATATTGAGAAAAAAATTTTGCAGAATCGTGGCATCTCAAAAAGTAATGGACCGAAATTGAATTGAATTGAAATTTCGCACAGATGTGTTCCTAAACAATACCAGTTGTGAGTCAAAATTGCAGATTTGTACCTATCACTTTAGTCCTTTTTGCTTCCGAATGGAAGCATTGTTTTTGACCGTTTTTTCGATTTTATAATTTTGATTACAAATGATCGAGAATGTTATGAAACGTGAAGAAATGATGTTTTTAGGGTCATGTCTGTATGTATGTATTCGACAACTTGGGTTTTTGGTGATTAATTTTTAGAAAATTCAACATAAATATGTTGAAATTTGTAGACAAAAATCTGAAATTTTGGCTCATAGTAGCTGTTATTGAGCTCAACTTTGGCGCGCTGTTTTAGCCCGACCAGTCTAGTACTTCCTGAGATATAACAACTTAATTAAATTTCGTTCTTCCTCAATATCTCAAAAACTACTGCACCGATTTCAAATTTTTTTCTTTAAATACTCGTCTCGATGGCCTCTCTGTAAGTGATTTAGAATATATAGACTCTTTAATACACAGCTTGGCGATACTGCCGTTTTTCCGTTGTTAATGAAAAATTTTGTTCGCACGATAACTTGAGCAAAAAAAGAGATAGCAAATTGAAATCTGGTATCATTATAGTTGATACAATATCAAGGTTGGTATTCTGGATGAGCTCAACCGGCCGAGCAATTTTGGAGATATTTAATCTTTTCTATAAATCTATTTAATTAAAAGATTGAATATCTTTCTGTAGACACTCTGTAGCATGTGGTTACAGTTGTATGCCTGTCATAAAGACAGGGAATTGCTACGAATCCATTCGGAAGCTTATTACCAATGGATTTGGTTGAAAAAAATAGACTAATAACGCAAGAAGTAATGGTCACATGCCTTCTGTCGAATAGGCTCGAATCCCTGCTTGTTTTGTGAAAATTTATAAAAAATTTCCCAGAATTTTGCACACATATACGGACGTACGCACAGACATTTTCTAAAAACATCATATCTCGACGTTTCATGATATTCTAAATAATTTGCAATCGAAATTCGAGAATCAAAAAATCGACTGATTACAAGCTTCCATCCGGAAGTAAACAATAATGCTCAGGTGCCCCAACGCCATATGTTACCTTGAACAGCCAATAAACAGGGAACCACCCAACGATGAAATCTGAGAAGAATTCAATAATCGTGAATACAGCGAATACAACCCAGTAAGTCAACCATTTCGTATCATCATCCTTCTTTGGTGTCTCCAATGCTTTCATTGAGCAATAAGCTGGGTAGAAAAATCCAATGATATTGCAGACAAGTTGTTGACCAAGTCCAAACACCAAGTACAGTGCCAGCAACGCAACAGATGCTTTACAGAAGATTGTATCCGTAAAATAAATATCGCCACATTTCCGATATTTTTGGTCATTAATGTAAAACGTAGAAAACAACGAAATGATGACATAACTAATTATTACATACCTCCTAAGATGTAAAGCCTGTCAACACCTGTTTTAGCCTCTGCCATTGCGAATAATTTAGTCCAGGGTTTACTCTCGTCCCTCAATGCCTTCTCCACTGTTTCTTTCGTCGCCATTATACGAGCCATATTTTTAAAAATTTCCTTATTTTTTCAAGTGATTGATTACGTGCGATAAGAGTATGAGTAAGTGATAGTGACTTTAGCCGGAGGAGGAAATACCACACCGGTAGACGAGTCTGGCGACCGTTGAGTTTTGATGGGTCAAGGTTATGTTGCCAATCACAAAGTTTCCGTGATTTTCAAATTAGGGACAATTGTACGCACGCGCGAGGCTCTCCATTGTATTTTGGCGCCACTGACACTATCGCCTTCTTCAATTTGAATTGGTAGCAAATAACTTCATGAAATAGATATTATATTGCGGTAATCAGAATGAAATCTAAAGTTTTTATTGTTCATGACAATGTTTTCCCCGATGATGTTCAATTAATCGATTGATTCCAGGTAGGGTTTTCTCATTATCTTGAGGAGAAAAGATGTGTTTGGTAGAACCGAATATTCCAAGCTTCTCGTAGGTGGTTTGGAAGCGTTACAGATGGTATATATATAAAAATGAAGCGGATGCGCTGAGACCTACAGGTAGTCATTTTCGCCAGAAGATGAAGACAAAATTCAGCGTGATAAATCATGAGTGCAAACCATTTCGATGGGACGTAATTCTGATTCTGGTGATTCATTTTGCAAGCAATACGATAGAAATGACGAGGAATTGCACATGAGTCGACAATGAATTTCTCTCATTATTTTCTGGCTATTTTCAAAGGAAGAGGTCTAAACCTCTTCCTCTGATAAAAAAGATGTATTAGAAAAAAATTTCCTAAAGAATTAAGGACTATAAAAAAAATATGTGGGAATTCTGCGCTAAATATTTCATTGGCCACTGAAAATTTTGTGTTCTTGCGGTATTAAAAAAAAAATGTGATCCAAAATTAATACAAACCATTTATGAGAAACACAATTCTGTTACTGATGATTTATTTAGGCTTTTTTCGTACATGTCTTTTTAATTTCAGGTGTGATACTCCATTTCTTCAAGCGTATTTCTGTAAAGATCCGAACAAATGAATAAATTACTAACGTGGCATATTTTCTCCGTTCTATGGGAAAAGGGTACGTACATTTCACCGATTTGCATTTTTTCAGATGTGAGGGCTAATTTTCTGATATTTCGAATGGTAGTCGCTGCTGCGATCTGTACTTCAGGATCTTCAGACCCAACAAGACGTAATACATGCTGAAAACATTATATAATGGATTTAGTTAATCTAGTAATAGGCGGAGGTGAGTACAGCACAACCTTATTTATCCGACCTTCAATCAACCAAACTCCCGCGTTATCCGAGGCACCGAAAAATCTCGAATAAAACGAATGGAGTCGCATAAAATTGTTACAATACGTTTTGTGCACTCTTTAGCTGCGAGCTGAAATTAACAGTTGGCCTTCAACAATCAATGAACGAACATTGCCATGCTACAAAAAAGGAACAAAGTCGTAGTCGCCACTAAATTTCATTGTACCCTTTCAAATATATACAAAATTATTAAGATTTTCGAATTTTTTATTTCTTCCGTGTTATCCGAGTTTTTGCTTATCCCAGGTACCCTTTCCCCTACATTGCCTTAGATAAACAAGACTGTACTGTACAACAATTTGAAATTTGCTGCAAAAATGACGTTTATAAATTTTCCCAAGGCTCTGTCTTCCAAATATACAGAATGTCGCAAAACTTATGGGATATATGATGACGATAGCTCGGGAGGAGGGATATTATTCAGAGACGAAAAGTCTGATGGATGTCTTCTCTTTGGCGTTTTGCTAATAAGTTGAATTGAGACAGAAACTCAAACAATCAAAAATAGGAAATATGATCTGGTAAATTATGTTCGAAGTGGGGAAATTATCTAGATTTGTAAACTCATCTGCTTCACAAAATTTCATTTTATCAAATTTCTAATTTAATAATTTGAATAAATTCTGGTTTTCTTCATTGTTAAAATTTAGTTCTAACATTATTTCAACAATTTACCCGAATCCAATCCCAAGCCATTTCCCAAAGATAGGCTTAAAATAGGAGACATTCTTAAAAATGTGATGATTTTAGGCAGCGTCTAGCCACAGCGTCTAAGGTATCTTATCCGTTACTTTTTTTACCTTACATCTAAGGTATTTGTTGCCTTATATCTACCGTGAGGTATTTTTTCCCTTAGCTGCAAGGCCATCCACTTTTTCCCGTAGATGTAAGGTATTGCCGTATATCTAGATAATTTTTTGAGTTTGAATACCCACGGTATGTAGCAACTTTTGCCGTAGCCACAAGGTGTTTTGCCCCCATCCGTTCTTTCAATAGATATAAGGTAATTCGGTTTATTCGGGGCTCAATTCAATTTAGTTTCATCTGGAATTCAAATTTGGATTCAGAACACTCCCCTACTAATCAGAAGGCGTATTCAATAGCGCGTTATTGATTTGGTTTCTCTTTAATTAAATGACGCTGAAACTGGCGAAAGATAGGCACGACTTTTGGCGCGGACTGTACCCTGAGTGCAGGGGCCCTTTTTTTAAATAAAATTTTAAATTATGTTGAAAAAACGATTGAAATTTATTTTCTAAACAATTCTTTTTTATGCATTGATTTTCGAACTAAAAAATTAATTAATTCAATAAATTAATTAATTTATTCACCCACGCGGTTTTTTTATCTGTGGAAAATAGACGCATGTATCCGGAGGGATGAAAATTTAGGGGGGGTGAGGGGGAGGGGTCCGATATTACATTTTTATAAAATTTATCCCTCTGGATACATGCGGCTGTCTTCAACCCCCCGGAGAAACCGCACGATCATGTATTTCCCCCGAAATTCATTTTTTTTTAATTATAAAAAATCAGCGCATGTTTCCGGAGGGGTAAATTTTATAACAATATAGTCTCAGACCCCTCTCCCTCACCCCCCTAAATTTTCACCCCTCCGGATACATGCGGCTGTCTTCAACCCCCAAGCGATTTTGTCACCAATTTTCTCAGTAACGCACCCCTCCAATTCTTACCTTTATAACTCCACAAGTGTGCATGGTAACACAATTCAGTGGTTCTTTACTCAAGTGATAGAAAGCGATGCAAACACCCTTGAGCACATCTTTATGTTTACTATTCGCGTAATTGACTAGAGGTGCAACCGCATTCAAACGTCCAAATTCGTAATTATTTCGACCCCATTCACAACAAAACGCGATTGCCAGGGTGAGGTAAGCCCTTAAATGTTCGTCTTCCTGTAAATATGATTTCACTATTATTTCCAAAGAATTGTTAACTGCGAAAACTGAAGATTCAAAGTTAAAATTATCGTCAGGATTCGATGAAGGAAGTAAAATTCTACAAACGATAAATATTTTTTAATAATTTTTTTCATTACCGAGGAGGCAATAAAATTATTTTCGTGTCACGGGACCTGAAATAGTATATTATGTCATCAGGCGATAAAAGTATTATCTGGCGAATGTGGGTTTATAATCACATTCGCAAGATAATGCTTTTATCGCCGAAAACCGGGCCCAATGACATAATAGTACATTACATGCCTGAGCCTTGGAAAACAGATCACCGTCTCCCACGTGCAAGATTGCCTTCCGAACCGAAGGTGAGGATGGCCAGCCTACGTGCTCTGATCGTGCGGTGATCTGTTTTCCAAGGCTCGGGCATGTAATGTACTATATCCTTCAAAATTGCAAAAGGAAAAACACTGGAGAAATTTATATGAATTATCGCCCTTCTGTAATTATGTAATTATCATTATGTGATTATCATTATGTGATTATCTTCATAATCAATCATTTCAGAAGAAATTACTGAGAAACCATTCTTGTAAGGAAATCCTGTGCTACAAAAAAGTTCTCTCAATAATTTCTCTGGAGATCATTTGTTTCTCGAGTACATTACTGTTAAGTTATCAAGTTATTGTGGAATAGTTACGGTATTGACGAGGCTTGCAAGCTTTTCCACAACCCCATGATCCGTAAGAATGCCCAGATTCTCAGGATCCACTGCGATTTCAGCAATAGCAGCGCAAACAGCAGCAAGGACTTCAGTGTCATCAGTTTCTAATAACGTAACCGTTAATTCCAGACCTCCCACGAAGGCTCGGACCATTTCCGGTGAATCTTTAGCGCGTTTTATGCAGGGAACCAGAGCCCAACAGGCATTCCTTTTGACTACGTTGCTGGGGTGCTTCAATAGGGACCAGACTAAGCGAACCCCATCCAGGGAGTGTGATGGGTCGTTTATTACATCCATACATTGTTCATCTTCAGCGCATTCCTTTATTACCAAGGGTAGGTTCTCCAGGAGAGGCTCGTATGTGCAACTCAATAATCTAATCTAATTAATCATCCAAAGAATTCGAAAACAATTAGGTAGTAATTAAGCATGAAGGAGAGATGAAATTGACAGGCGGTGTATAATTTACACTCCTAATATTTTTTCTGAACTAAAAGAGTTAAAAAGGCAATGTGAAGAGACGGAAGAGACGAGAAAACGGATCCTAAGGGTCGAATGTATTTATAACGGTCAGGCGGATAATATAGTCCATACGCAATACCCCCTTCCCGTGGTCACTAAGAGGTCGATGGAATTTTATCATTGGATTTTATGTTTTTGGGGGTGAGGAATCCGAATATGTTATTTATTTTGTCCTCCCGTCGCGCAATCATTTGTTATAAACAAATAAGTCCCCATTTTTAGCGAATAAATGTTCTTCTGGGAAAACCAAGAGAGATACAGAAAAATTATTCAAGCAATAGTTATTCCTCTTTATTTCACCAATAAAATGATTTTTGATTCGTCGAAATCGATTCAATACTTCCCGAGATACAGTCTAAAGAGTGAGCGCGGGTGGATAGACTGCGCGGACGACGGGTGAGTATGGGCGCGGAGCAGTGTATCTAAACGAATAACGTTTGTGTTTGCATACTGCACTGCGCTGAATAAATTTTATAAACATATGATGTTCAACAATGTGTAAATCGTGTTCAGTGCCTTCCTTTACCATGTTTCGATCTATGGTTTCAATGAATTTTCATGTAATTGACTCATTATTTATCATTTTTTCTTTTCAGATATCTTCATCTTCAATATGAAGGGGTCTTCTATTCATCCGATAACAGGAATTATACATTATCATTATAAGTTGCTGGCGACATTTTTACGTTGTCCTCTCGAAACATGGAATGCGTTTTGTCCCTTACCCGACATGAAGAGTATGAGAGAAAATAGAAATAATCGGCAGATTACAGATATTATTCCTTTCTACAGTAATCTAATGCAATACAGAATGTACAAACCAATGATATTCACTCAGATACTCTGCTCCGCGCCCATACTCACCCGTCGTCCGCGCAGTCTATCCACCCGCGCTCACTCTTTATCCTGTATCTCGGGAAGTATTGGATCGATTTCGACGAGTCAGAAATCATTTTATTGGTGAAAGAAAGAGGAGTAACTTTTGTTGAAACAATTTTTTTGTATCTCTTTGTTTTCCCGGAAGAACATTTAGTCACTAAAAATGGGGACTAATTTGTTTATAACAAATGATTGCGCGACGGGAGGACGAAATAAACAACATATTCGGATTCCTCACCCCCAAAAACAAAATCCAATAATAAAATTCCATCGACCTCGAGGCATCTGTCGATAATGGCAGTTTTTTATATGACGTTACAATACGTAAGGACGTCAAAAACTTCATAGCGTCACATTTCGGGATTGGATGATGTGGAATGCACCGATACCATAACAAAAATTGTAGACTTGAAACTGCAAAATTAAGTTCAATTTTACACTTATGTATGATTTCTAATGATTACGGAAATCACCTGATTCCTTTATTTCTATTGATCGCGTATGAAAAAATGCTATAGGATTTCCTATAGAATTTCCTATCAGATTTATGACCACTGTGACCAATTGGTTTCGAGTCTCAATTTTGTGTGTTACTTTATATAGAAAATCCTATAGTGAATTCTATAGGAAATGTTCGAATTCAGAACATTGATTTCGAAACATTCGAACATTGAATGGAGGATTCGAACATTTCCTATAGGATTTCCTGTAGGTTTTGTTCATACGTGATTTCCAATGATTTCCAGAAATCTTTAGAAATCACCACTGAAAATGGAAATCACTTGATTTCCAGTAATTTCCATTGATTTTTTCCTTGATTTCCAGTCGAGTGATCCAATGATTTCCTAAGTGACCAGCCCCTTGGTTCCCGGTAATTCGTGATCTTTAGGATCACTTTTCTGGTTTTTTCTGTTTGAATCTTCAATTTTAAGAACGTTCGACTCTGCGGGTTCAAACAAGGCAAACAGATGTTCCCGTTTGACTTGTTTGACCTTTCTAATTTCGAATAATTTTAATTTTTCAATAATTTTATAGGTTTATTAGCTTACAATGTAAGTGGATGCAATGCGGTTGAATAGAATAGATGGGATTTTACCTTTCCGGCAAGTTAGAGCGATGTAAAGTACCATTAACAAAGCTTGGGAAAAGGGAGGTTTTCATTCTTACCGTTCTCGAATCAATCCACGATTAATCCGATGGAAGTCATTTTTATGAAATAACTTACACTTATGAAGGCATTTTCAATAGTATACTAACTCATACAGCGATATTTTTCAAATTTTATGCTGTTTTTGCCTTGGGTGCCCTTATGTCATTTGCGCTCATTTTCAAATTAAAAAAATGAGCAATCGATTAATTTTTTCAAAGATAAATTAGCCGCTTTTTCCCAAACAATAATTCTATTAATTAGCTCGGGAATGAGGAACTCCATGAGACAATGTCGAAAGGACTCTGAAAATTTGACACGAAAAATAGTTTTTTTGTCTCACACTCATTTTCGAATCCCGGTAGCTTGGCGCAGTGGGTAAGTTCGTTGCCTCACATGCGAAAGGTTCCGAGTTCAAATCCCGGCCGGGTAGAATGGTGCGATCTAACCATTCATAGTCTTGATCATCATCGCAGTATACCCTCACCGGGTCGAAGCGATGTAAAATAACGATTAAAAAAAAAAACACTCATTTTCGAGATATGTCATGATCAAGCGAATGAAACCATTCGATTTTTATTGAAAAAATGGGCGATTTGAACGTCATTAATTACAACTAGGGGGTTTACGCCCCTCGCTCGCTCCGCTCGCCAACCCCCATATGACCCTCATTGTGATCCTATTATACCCCTCGTGACGCTTATTTTGACCCTTCATTTCTGACCCTTAATTTTGGAGTCTTAATTTCGAGCACCAAATTTTCACCACCAAAAAGAATTTTTACAATATAGAGAGATATTATAACCCGCATTTTACCGCTGTGACCCTTAGTTTCTGACTCCCATGACTCTTATTTGGACCCGTAATGTGACCTTCATGACCTTTATTTTAACCCTGGTGAGCCTTAGTTTTTGACCCTCATGTCCCTTATTTGGACCCTTAATCTGATCCTTGTGACATTTATTTAGACCCTTGTTACGCTTATTTGGGCCCTTAATCTGACCCTCAAACTTGCGACCTTTAATCTGACCCACATGACCCGTAATCTTGTGACCCTTAATCTGGCCCACATGACCCATAATCTGACCGTTGTTAGATTAAAGGTTACTCTTATTCTGACCCTTGTGACTTTTATTTTGATCCTCATAACCCTTGTGACCCTTAATTTCGGAGCTTTAATTTCGAGTACCAAAGTATTATCACCAGATGTCGATTTGGATTTTTATAATAATAGAGAGAAACTAATATTTACCAATTTAGGAAGTCCATTATTAATTCTCAGAACTGCTCTATTTGCAGGATCAACACAGCACTCGGCTAACGCTCCGACAACATGTGCTAGAACTTCCTCATCTTCATTTTCCTCAAGCAGTGGGACTAGTGATGCAACTAATCCATTCTGATTGAATCTCGATACATTCTCTGGACTAATTGCACATTTCCAAATGGCTCCAGTGACTGCAGCTAGTAATCTTTTATTTGAACGTACTTGTTCACTTTGGACGAGGCGACAGAGAGGGTCCAACCCTCCGGCCTGCCTCACCATATCTCTGGTTAATTTATTGGAGGCACATTTGAAAATTGCTAAAGCACAGTTCTCTTCCAATTTGATCCGATCTCTCTGAGCTTTGAGGGCGTTCTTGTTTTCTGGTGGATGTTCTTCTTCAGCAGTTCCGTTCTCGTGGTTTATTTTTGGGGGATGAGGGTCGTGGGAGGGTTTCCCATTTGTTATCGACTCACCGGTTCGAAGGTGACGAACAATCTCTGAGATTATTCCCATTTGTTCAAATGCTAAACGAAATACTTTCTGCAAACGAACGAAGAGAGAAAAATAAAAATATCTCAGTGAGGTTGAGACTTTTGCACTAAACAGTGTCACTTAGATGGTTTGGCACTTATCTGAATCTCAAAGTATTTTTACCCTATGCGAAATCTCTTGTAGGGTTGGCCATAAAATAGAGATCGGTTTTTGTTCAATCTAATTTTTTCGTTTCGCTCAATGATACCTACTGACGCGCAAGACGTGACAACAGCGAGAGTCGCCCAATTGGCATGAAATATTTAGATTCTCGGGGAACTCAAATCTCGGTATGAACACTCTAGATTTCTCCATTTGAATTTCTTTAGCTTACGGAAGACAAATCGTACAGTGATGGGGTGAAAATTTAGAGGGGGGGGGGTCCAAAAAATGTGTGACGCAATGTGTCATAAGGCTCCCATTCGGCGTCGCGTTCCACCCTGTTTCGCACATAATTTTCAATTAATTTATGAGACGGGAGGTCACACTTTCCTTAAAGTGATTTTTGCGAAGGCAGATGGAATTGTTTAAACGAATTGGGAATTATAGCAGCATCAATAGGTAATATAATAGGTGGGATATCACTATACCTTCAGTACAAATTGCTATTGAATGTATCCTAAACATACAATGGTAATGTAATATATGAGATTTGACTTCTATAGTTAATTATACAGTATAGCTAGAGTAATTCAGACAGAGTGGACCAGATTTTTCCCTTAAATACACATGGAGATAGAAAATCGGGAAAAAATTACAAAAAAGCTCGCGTCATCGTCTGATGGGCAGCTTGTTAAAACTAATACTTGTGAGTCGTTGCGAGGAAAGTTCAGTAGACTCTCGTTATAGTCGCACTTCCTTTAATATAAATTTTTACTCCCTTTAGGAGATTACTATAATCTGATTCAAATATTATGTCAGAGCGACCCGAGGCGAGATAAAATTTGATGATTCACTTGATACAAGATTTTTAATATTCAGAAATCCAGAAGGAAATAGAGAATGAGTGAAAATTGAAAATTCGAAAGAACCATCAAATTGTCGAAGAAAATTTTCCAGGAAGATGAAGGATCTTCCTTGAATCAGTATCCTCTCTTGAAAATTTTTTTATAGAAAAAAAAGTGAGTCTAGAGTTCTACAGACCAGATCTGCACATTGTTGAACAGCTCCCATAATAGGCACAACGAGTTCAATATGCGCCGATTGTAGAAATCTACTCATAAAAAAAACAACTCCATGTTTACGAAGTTCTTCTTTAATTTTTGGGCTGCTGCTCAATGCATCCAGGACTTTAGCACATGCAATTGCAACTGCAACGTGCTGTCGCTCGCTTTCGTTTGATTGTTCAGCGTTGCGACGCAGAACATTGTCAGGTACATCCATTGCATCCAACTTGAAATGATAAATTAATTTTTTTAATAATTTACGGCAGAGAGAATTGTTGGATGAAACTTACGATCAATGCAATACCGTTCCGGACGCGAATCTGCTTCCTCGCTTTTCGCATCATCGCTACGCTGGCCATCGTCTCCGCAGCGAGAATCCTCACGTCTCTCGCGGGATGTTTCAGCATCTCGATGAGTGGGGAAACGATACCGAGGTCGATTAGGTAGCGACGAGTGTCAAAACAGTTTCCCATTCGCGATAAAACTGCGAGAGAACCTAATTGACATTTTACGTCTTTGGTTTCTAGGAGATTCACCAGAACTTCCAAGCCACCCATCTCGCGAATGGATCGTTGAATTGGCTAGGAATTAATTCAGCTTGAATAATGATCGTGAAAATTCACTTCATGGTGATTTCTTTTCAATGGCAAAGGTTTTTTTACAGACAATTTTTAGTTTTATCTCTCAAATTATGGGCGAAACATATTAGTAGCGAAGCGGTAAATGGTTCAAGTTGACTTGGCTCATCGCTGAATTTTCGAGAAATATCTCTGAATCTAACGCAGTTGGCGAAAACTTTATAAACACCTTTTTTGTAAAGCGAATTGAGGGTTACAAAAAAGGTCTGTTTGAAACGTATATATACGCTATATATCTATCAGTGAAACGATCGGTCCTACACTGAGAGAAAAACGACAAAGTTCTCAAACAAGTCTTACTTGTGCCAAGAAAATAGTGTTTTTTGAAAATTATCAAAAAAGGATTTTTTTGTGGCGAATATGGAGAGAGTGCGGCGGAATGAGAAATTTTTGTCGCAAAAATAGACTTAGTAGTTAAAAAAAAAATGCATTCTCTGTATACGCAAGAAATGTCATTTCTAGCACTACTACTTCGTTATTCGATACTCCTCGAAACTATGGTATGTCTTTCATAATTGTCTCTGATATTTCACTGAATTTGAGATATACTTTCACGTGATACTACCATTTCATACACGTGCGATCTTCTCAATTGCCAGATTTCAACTAACTTTTCGGGGGTTTCGCGATCCCCTGACCGCTCAACCGAAATTTCTTTGTTTTATGCGAAACAAGAGATCGTAGTTTTTAGTTTCGGCTATCTCATAGACGCAGGAAACAAATGAACTCTTAAATGAAACAATAATAATGATATCTGTTGTGAATTGGTAAACTAGGATAAGGGCAAATCGCTTCCCAACAATGGTCTGCTACTATCCACGAGGGGATTTAGCGAAAAAACAAAAATTGACCCCAGTACGAAGAAAAAGTAAGAAAGATAAGTGCAGTGCATTAACTTGTTGGAAGATATGTTGACTTATCTTCCGAAGTGGAACCGATGGGAAAAGGATAAGTTGACTTATCTTTCTGGTACATTGGTGACCCTCATGTCTGGTTTCCGCACCTAACCCTCGTAACCCTTCCTTTGACCCTTTCACCTAATTCCAGCGAACCTTAATTTTTACTTTCATTCCGGTTTCTTTGTTCAGACCCTTATCTAATTTTTCGATTTTACACCCGAGTGTTTAGATTTATAAAACCCCAGTGTTTGAATTTTAAGGGTCGTCTTTCAAGGGGTCACGTGACCAAATTCACTTTTACTATTTACAGCCAAAACAATTCCTTCATTTTGATAAAACCCAATTTCCGACCTGTAGTCATGACTCCCGTATGTCAGAAATTGGCTTTCATGAAAATCAGGGAATTATGTTGGCTGTAATTAGTAAAGGTGACTTGGGTCACGTGACCCTTGTGAAGACGGCCCTTAAATCTGGTTGAATGATAAATTTCAAACAGTTTCGGTTTTATTGGAAAAAAAAAATTATAGAAACAATGCAATTTTCTAGTTTTTAAAAATTATGGAATTGAACACAAACAAATATATCGAAACAAAATAGTTAAAAGGCAAGAGTACTGGATATTTAAACGCCGTAAGCCCACCATATTAAAAGGGTGTGTGCGGGACAANCCACCATATTAAAAGGGTGTATGCGGGGCAAAATGGGTATTTCGGGAACTTGTAGGATTGAGTGGGGGTAAAATAGGTATTTCGGAAACTTGTACGATTGAATGGGGGCAAAATGGAGTTTTCGGGAACTTGTACGATTCAATAGGGTCTTAATCGGTAGTTATTAACCTTATATGATTCAATGGGGGCAGAATGGGTATTTTCTGAACTCATACGAATCAATTGGAAGAAAATGGGTATTTCTTGAATTTGTACGGTCGCATAGAGGGCAAAAATTATATGATAATTATTTTGAATAATTGTATGAGGTTTACGAGGGCCACAAGGGAAAAATTGCGTTTCACGAGAATAAAACGTCACAAGGCTCGCGAGGGGAACATTAAATTCACGAAGATCAAATGTCATGAGGCTCACGAGGCCCACAAGGCGAAAATTGAATTTCATGAGAATCAAACATCACCAGGCTCATGAGGGCCACGAGGGGAAAATTAAATTTCACGAGGGCCAAACATCACGAAGCTCACGAAGCTCACGACTCTCACGAGGGCCACGAGGGGAAAATTAATTTTCACTGTATCAAACGTCACGAGACTCACGAGGGGAAAATTAAATTTCAAACGCCTCGTCCCACTCGTATCGAAATATAGTATTTTTCCTCCTGGCCTTCGTAAGCCCCGTGACCTTTGATCCTGCTGGGTGCCCTCAAAATTTCTAACATGTAAAATACTGTATACTATATTTTATACATTTTTTACGTATTATAGTTATTTGCATTCGTCGCAGACTTTCAAGTTTTACTTGCTCCCCCCCCCTCCTTGATAGGGATAAAGACAAGAAATCTCCAGTGTGGCCCTCGTGAGCCTCGTGACGTTTGCTCCTCGTGAAATATAATGTTCCCCTCATGACCCTCGTGAAATTTAATTTTCCCCTTGGAACCCTCGTGAAATTCAATTTTCTCTTTGTGGCCCTTAATTAAATGACTTTTGGTATATCATCGCACACCTGAGAAACTGAGAACAAATCGGGCCCAACCCATTTTTCCCCATACATTGAACGAGGCCCTTCTTTTTCGTGTATTTGGTTTCCGTTTGAGGTTTCCGTTTAACGTGTGAGGCATGACGGGTTGGGGCCGATTTCTTTCTAGTTTTTCAGGTGTGCCCATCATATATCAAGAGCCGTTCAATAGTTATTTTCATCCATTGCAGATTTCCAAGTTTAACTCGGGTCCCCCTCTCCCCCTAAATAAGGTGTAAAGTCCCAAAATATCAATTTTGTCCCGATTCAATGATGCATGTTCAGGAAAGAGCCATTTTACTCCCATTCAATCCTACAATTTTTCCAAATACCCATTTTGCTCCTATTCAATCCTACAAGTTGCCGAAAGACCCATTTTGCTCCTATTCGATCGTACAAGCTCAAGAAATATCTATTTCGCCCCTATTAAATCTCACAAGTCTAAAAAATACCCATTTTGCCCCCTTCCAATCGTATAAATTCTGGAAATACCCATTTTGCCTCTATGAAATATCAGAACTTCACAAAATACCCACATTGCCCCGATTCAACTGTGCAAGTTCTCGAAACACCCATTTTGCCCTCATTCAATCGTACGAATTCTCGAAATACCCATTTTACCCCTATTAAATAATGTAAGTTCAGGAAATACCGATTTTTTCCCTATTGTATCGTATAAGTTCAGGACATATCCATTTTGCCCCCAGTCAATCGTACATGTTCCCGCAATAATCACTTTGCCGCCATTGAATCGTGTAAGCTCAAGAAAACCCCATTTTGCCCCCACCGAGTTCCCCCACAAACTGAATTTTTTTGTTTAAAAAATAAGCCCTTGAGTAGTTTTCATCGTCCAACCAAGACCACAGTTCGAGATGAAACATGGAGAAATAGAATAAACATGATCCATGTATTTGGGGACATATTGTTTACTTCTGTTCCATAGGGTCATAAGGATACAATGAACTTCTTTTGCGTTTTGTTCAAAGAATCGGTCAATTGACTATCATCGTTACTTAGAGCACCAGGAGATAAGTCAACATATATCCAGTTGATTGAGTCATCGAAAAAGATAAGTTGACTTATCTTTCCCGAAAATCTAGTCACTAAGGATAAGTGCAGAATTTTTACTCAAATTACATCCTGCGTGCGTGATACTGGTACCTAAAAAAAAGACCCAATAAAAAGGGAAAAATGTAGCGCCAATACCCTCGAAACCCTATTCACAAAGGCAGCAAAAGTTTTTCAGCTCTCCTGTAAAATTTATTTTTTTGCACTTATCCTAGTTTACCAATTCACGGCAGATATGATAACAATCTTGTAACTTAGGGATAAAATATTTATTAATAAATTTTCCTCTATATGAGATATTTTCATCCTGAAAAGGCACCGTCTGGTGTGAATTATCTGTCTCCTAAGTCAAATATTTCGTTGTTGTCGAGAGCAGAACAATTATTCATGCTTGAGATTTTCAAATTCGAACCAAACAAATTCTTTTCTGGCCATTTTCAACCAGCGATTTTATGGCCCAAACAAGATTTGTTTGACACCGTGTTTGTTTTTCTCTCAGTGTACCGACAATCCTCGAGCACCATCGGGAACCTTCGGTTGAGCGGTCAGGGGATCGCGAAACCCCCGAAAAGTTAGTTGAAATCTGGCAATTGAGAAGATCGCACGTGTATGAAATGGTAGTATCACGTGAAAGTATATCTCAAGTGCAGTGAATTATCAGAGACAATTATCAAAGACATTCAATAGTTACTAGGTGTATGACTTAAGTTAATTAATTATTAAGTTTAATTAATTAATTCTCGGCCACTAGATTAAGTTGATTAGAACACCTATTTGAATTAAATAATTTTTTCGTGTCACGGGACCTGAAAAACACAATTTTCGACACCAATTGACGTTTTGCAGGTCCTTCGACACGAAAATTAATATACACACCTCGCCATGGAAAACATATCACCCTACCCCACGTGCTTGCCATCCTCGCCTTCGGCTCGGAAGGCAATCTTGCACGTGGGATGCAATTTTGGACGGTGATCTGTTTTTCAAGGCTTGGGCATGTAATGTACTGTTCCGCAATAAAGAGCGTTTTGAAGCGTCATCTGTGAGCTATCAAACCACTCAAGTCCGATTGTGGTCCGATTAACACAACCTCAAAAAACAGTAAATAAAAATGTTACTCGACAAGCAGCAATTGAGGCACTCCCTTCTTTTCACCTTCCAACTTGGAAAAACGGCTGCAGAAGCACAAGAATAGTATATTTCAGGGCGAGTGCCATGAGGTTTTTTTACTCGCGTGGTTGACCAGTCCTCGCCTTTGGCTCAGACGCCAACTCCACGCGAGTAAAAAATCCCATGGCACTAGCTGTGAACGATATTTTTCCGTAGTAATTTTCACTTTTACGAGTTTGGAGAAGGGTCAATACCAATTCCCGCACGAGGAAAAGTGAAGATCAGTACGGAAAATTATTTGTTCGGGCTTAGGAGAGAGTGTTGTATCTTATATATAGCACATGTAAAAAGTGGTTCAAAAAATTTGGGGATGGAAATTTTGATCTCCAGGATAAGAACGTCCTCGGCAGCCGAAAAAAGTTGAGGACGAGGAGTTGGACAACCTACTCAATGAAAATCCCTGCCAAATACATCAGGAGCTTGCTGATACTCCCGGAGTGACTCAATCAGCTATTTCGAGGCGTTTAAAAAGAATTGGGAGGATACAGAAGGAAGGTCCTTGGGTGCCCTATCATCTTACCTCAGAAAACAAAAGTCGACGCAGTCGACGCTGACCAGATTCAAACAAAAAGACTTTTTACATAAAAATTGTGACTGGGGATAAAAAGTAGATATTTTACGACAATCCTAAGAGGCGAAAGTCGTGGGAATATCCGGAGGAACCGTCAACGAGTACTGCAAAACCGAACATTCACGGGAAAAAATTGTTGTGTATTTGGTGGAATTCCAAAGGTGTAATCTATTATGAGTTACTCGAACAGGGGGAAACCGTCACTGCTAAGCGTTATCAGGACCACTGGTGAAATTGAGTGATGCTATTGAGGAAAAGAGGCCTTTAACTGGTAGTGGTACGAGGCAAGTAATTTTTCTACGGGACAACGCGCGGCCACACACAGCAAAAGAAACCCTGAAAGTTATCTCCACGTTGGGGTGGGAAATTCTCCCACATGCGGCGTATTCTCCAGATCTTGCGCTTTCTGATTATCACCTTTTTCGGGCGCTACAACATCACCTGATGAATACCCAGTTCCAATCTCCTGAAGAAGTCCAGCAGAGCATTGATGACTTCATCCAGTTAAAACCTCCATCTTCTTTTCCAGCCGGAATCCGACAATTGCCGGATAGATGGGGGAAATGCATGCAAAGTGACGGCGATTATTTTCAAGATTAGATCTGTATTCATTTTTTTATAAATAAATGTCAAAATTGTCGAAAAAGGCCGAGAATTAAGTCATACATCATAATATTCAACAATTCAGTACATCAACCTCTGTAGGTATTAATATTTAAGACACTCAACAAACTAGTTCAACCAAAGTGTAAATATTACGGTTAACGAAGTGGTTCGATTCCACTAAAATATAGTGACGGTTTATGAATCAGTGTTCTAATTAATTTTCGGCCTATCCTGGAACAACACCTCCCACATCTACCCTACATTTAGATCCTCACCAAACAACGTCTCGACAAAAATTCGACTATCGACCTTAGATTTCGAGATATTCTCGCCTTAGATTTGCCTTAGATTCGCCTTAGATTTGGAGATGATACTATGAATATCTCGAAATTCTATGAATATATCGAAATTTTCTATGCACTATATATAGTCAAATAGTCAAAATCGATTTAAACCGTTTTACCGCTTCGCTACTAATGTTATTCGTTATTTTGCCATTTTCAGCTTGTAAAGCAAGCGCCTTTGTAGCAAATTCTATTGGACTTCTGTTGGAAATTTATTTTTCTTTACGCTGTGCGAAAAAGCAACTTTTTAGGCACGCTTCGCGAAAAAAAATTTTTACTCGCGTGGTTGACCAGTCCTCGCCTTTGGCGCACGCTTCGCGTGCCTAAAACGTCCCTTTTCCACACATTGTAATGAAAAATATCGTTCGATACTCGTGGGAAAAGTATTTTTTGGCTCGTGGGAGGTTTATAGCACAAGTCGAAGGCGAGTGATATAATCCCAAAACTCTTTTCCGTACTCGTAACGAAATTTACTATTTTGACACTACTGCTACTGCTATTTCCTACGTTCACCCCGTATCGAAAAGTGCTTTTCATTTACTCGTAAATAAAAAAATATTGTTCGACACATGTGAGATGGGAATTTTCTCGAGTGTGAAGTTGCACGAGCTGAAAATTTCCGTCTCACTCGTATCGAACTATACGATTACGTTTATTTAGTTTAGAACATGTCCAATAGAAACTATTTCATGCAAAAAATGAATAGAATTTCATTGTTCCATACAACTCATTCTATTGAGATATTTTCTATAAGAATTCCTGGACATTTCCAGTTTTTTAATAATAGTCAGGTAAAAATTAACAACAATAAATAGAAAATTTCGGCCGAGGATTTTCTATAGAAAATATCTGAGTAGAATTAGTTTTAACATTTTCTATTGCATATTAATATTGACGAAAAAATGCACAGAAAAACTGCTGAATTTGTCAATAGAATCGGCAAAGAACTAATAAAATTTTCAATAGAAGTCCAGTAAAAAAAATTTCGAGCAATGTGTTAACCTTTTCAACTGCAATTATCTGTAAGTGAAGTTACAAAAACCTTTCGATAATTCCTCTCTATCATTTGCAAATTCTTCAATTTTCTTTCCACAATTGTCATTCTCCCTGGTTCCTTGTTACGTTACCTTGCTGTCGAGTTCATAATTCTTCAACAAACACAGGGCAACTGTCGTGGCTGTTTGATTGCCGGCCTTCGTATACTTGATCAACTTCTGAAGATGCCAAAACTCTGAAGGAACTTCTGGCGATTCCTCCTTGACATAATTCGTCTCGTCATCACTTCCAGATTCGAGTTCATCATCAGAGCTCTCTTCCTCTGCAGTCTCATCGATAATCCGATGCTTCGGACCCTCAGGCTCTCCTCCAATAGAACCAATAATATTAGCCGAAGTGGTTGAGGTGGGTGCTTGCAGTGAAGACGTACTCCCCTTTTTCGGGCCCTTTGTCATTTGAGATTTTTTGGAACTATTCCGTTTGTTATTATTACCCGGCATCATGCAAAGTCTGTTAACCCTTTGGATTTTGAAATACAATTGACTCCCTCCAACTCTGGATTGTTAAAAGTGGAGTTAAACGACTCGCCTGAGTGAGTTGGTTTCCATAACTTCCATCGTGAAACAGTGTCAACAGTTTTACAATAGAAACCATGGAAACCTGAAATTTTCCGACGATTGAAGAGTTTTACAGTCACTACACTCACCTCATACAGTGCTTTGAAGTGCGCCTTGATTATCCTCTTTCCACTTGATGAGCTCAATTTAGTGGAGAGTTAGAAAGACTCAATAGTATCGATCAAACGAACAGGTGACTGTGACTCCATCCGGTGGAGCCTGTCTTTTCCATTCATAATGTGTAGAGCACGTGAAACGAGAACATATCAATACATTTTATCAATTTTAATTTTTACCGCCCTTTTTTTCATGGGATTTATTTTTTCAAATGGATTTATTGGAGTTGGAGACATCAAATTTGTAAGTAGGCATAAATTTTTACTATCTAAGAATCATTTTGCATAGTAACAAAATATTTCATGATGCACTGAAGGAGTTATCTTTTGTGCTTTTTTTGGGAAAGGTTCGACAGAATAGATCAAGCAATAAAGATTTAAGAAAACATTAGAGATATTGGAATTGGATGTCAATTGCGTACTAGCGGCGCAGTACATTTGACAGAGAAATGTTGTAAAAGATAAAATAAAATAGTTCTAAAAAATAGTTTCATTGTTAAAATATTAATTTGTCAATTATAGTTTATCACAATTTGAAAATTGAAACAATATATTTTAATTTATTTATGAAGGATAATTTAACCCCTCAGCGACGAGACCTTTTTGTAATCAAGTTTGTTATAAAATTGACAGTTAATTCTTTATTTAGATTTAATTGTTAATTCTTGCAGTTTCATCGTAGCGCGGGAGTCTTGTAAAGGCTGACTGTGGGTGCGTTTCGGAATCAACTACCGTAGCTGCAGTAAAGCGAAATTAGATAGGGTTACAGTACTGCTACTGCTACTAAGTCGATTGCGAAACGCGCCCTGTATCTGGTCAGGTTCTCTCCTCATTGAGACTCTCCCTCGGTCTAATCGTAAAAACTCGAAAGGGTATACGAGAGAAAAAAAATAGAAGTGTAACTGATGTTCAACATCGCTACTACGTAATACCGCGTCTATGTTCAATTGAAGATATATGTGTATACATGTTCATTCATAATGCATGCTTATATTTGTATAATTTTGATTCACAATTCCATTGTTAGAGAGGAGTTGAGACTTCAAAGTCAGCTAACACCATGAAACACTCAACAGAACGTCAAAATACACCTGCGAAAAAGCTTATTTTAGTATGGAAGTACGGCTTGACACTCGAAAATCGTCACATCCATCGTTTCAATCCCTCGAAAAGGTAAAAACTGTTAAAAAATTTTGCCGCGTTTGGTTCTTTAATGGTGCAACACTGAAGTGGCAAAGCGTGACTTAAGAATTTAATTATTGAAATCTTATTGAATAAAAACTTATTCTGGAAAATGATGATTACTGAAAGAAATATTCAAAAATTTACTTTATAGTTGGAGGAATGTTAAGGATGGTTATCCAAAATCGCAAGTATTAAAAAACAAGATTTTTTTTTTCAACTGAGAGATGGATTTATTCCCTTTATCTTGATCAAAATTCCAATCCACCAACCCACGTTTATTATTTAGAAATGGAATGGACAAAATGCATCGAACGCATGCGCTAACATGCGCTTATAAGGGATAGAATCTTTCAAATATTTCCCCTTTTTGTGCGGGTACCCCAAATTTTTTTCTGGCCATCGATTCAGTATAGTTTTACACATTACCTTCTATTTTTATTTCTATTTTTAGTCTTATAGTAGGTGAATTATACATTTCAACATAAATCCTATAAGAGCTCGTGTATAAGGAAAAATTTGTTCATTTATTTCTGGCGAGACTGTCGCCATTATTTTTTTTTTAACATCAAAGAAGTTAGTTCCATATGTTCTGCTATCAACTCCTTGCATTCTCCAGAATAAACCGATTAACACCTTTGTTATTGTTATAAAATAAGGGAAGGGTTATAAGTTCGTTGTTCTGAAAAACCCGAAAAAACAGAAATTTTTTGTGAAATCTATAAAAAAACCCGGAATTTTCGAGGTTTCAAGATTTTAGAACTTAAGACGTGTCCACTTCCAAAAATTAAAGTAAATCAAATGTATGCCTTTCACAAAAAAATGAAAAATGAAAAACATTTTTGAGTCATAAGAGAGTTGATCTTTTAGAGAGTGGATCCCTGATTTCAAATTAAAAACTTCACATGCAAACTTAATTTCCTTTGATACTACTTACTTTTCAAGATATTCTCCATGGGAAAATTGTCCTCTTACATCCTGTGAGCTGACATACAGTGATGAAGACTCAGATATGGCAGACGCCGTACTATTTCACCTTCAACGAATGACAAAGAAAGATGCTACAAAAATTTCGAAGTGGTCGCGGAAAAGTCGAAATCAAAAACAAATTTGGGTTTTTCTAACAGATGAATCTCCAATGCATACGACATTCTACCCAGCGTACAACGGATTATTCAACTGGTCTATGACTTATCGATCCAATAGTGATGTCTGGGTGCCCTATGGTCGCACAATCAGAAACTCAGCCTTTCCAGAAGCTAACAGCACTGATCAACCTCGGAAAATTACTGGTTATCTTCCAGAAATTCCTAAAAAACATGAATTAGTTGCAATAATGGGGAGCAATTGCGCAAAAACTAAAGCAAGTAATCGATGGAAATATGTTAAGATACTTTCAAATCTCTTTAAAAAATCTGAACAAAATTTAGACATCTTCGGAGCATGTTTAGGGGGTAACAGAACTGCTTGTCCAGGCCATTTCTATCAAGATTGTCCTGTGTTAAATAATTATAAATTTTATTTAGCGTTTGAGAATTCAAACTGCAGAGAATACTTGACAGAAAAAGTATTTTGGAATGCTTATTCCAAATTTTCTGTACCGGTGATTATGGGGGCTCCGAAGCGGGACTGCCAGAGACTATTGCCTCCTCATTCGTACATTCATGTCGAAGACTTCGATTCACCAGAGGATTTATTTAATTATTTAAGGTATATTGATGAGGATGATGAGAAATATGTAAAATATCATACTTGGAGGAGGGAGTGGAGGGTTCTCAATGAACACGGATATTTTGGATCTGAGCCGAAGCATTACTGTCGTTTGTGTCAGGCATTGTGGCTCAATAAATCCACAACAAAATATTATGTAAATCCGAGTGACTATTGGAGCCAAAAAGACTGCATCCTGAGTCCTGATTCTACTTGATTATTCGTCTCAAATAAACTAAAGCATGTAGAAGAGTACACAAGGACGAATTCAGTATCCAAACGGTAAAGAACAGAACATTGAGTTTCTGAAAAACAAGTAAAAATTCGGAATGAGACTATTATTATAGAAGAATGCGAAATGCAAATCTGCCTGGTTATGAAATGTATAAATATATCTCGCATAATAAACCCGCACTATCTGTTCTAAAGTCTGGCGTGGGCGCTATATGACTGCAATTGAATGAAGCTGACTGATGAAAAATCGTAAACTCATACATAATGAAAGCGAAAAAATGATATGACATGTCAGTGACGGTCATGTGACAGGGATAATCTTGACAATCTCTCGTCACGTGACCAAAAACGTGACATTTTTACGATGTGACCATCACATTCCATCTAATTAGTGACACCCCAGGTATAGAGATCAGTGACTCCAATACATGTTCCAGGTTCTCTTGGGTTCCCCGCATAGTCTACAGCTCATGTCTTTATATCCCTTGTGTCCTGCGCGTCCTACGTTCCCGCACCGCATCCAAGCCCACCTTGTCTTATTCCCCCACGTCACCCCTTTTAACCCCCAATATCTTTCCTTCAGGTCCGGTCTATCCAAATTCTCAGAGCACGGGTTGAAAGTGGATTTACGTATCCTGCAGTTATCCTTCTCACGTTCCATCTTATCCCCCCTCCAAATATTTTTTCAACTTCTCCTGGAACGCTTTCCATTCCACTTCCTCACTCTTCAAGATCTCTATGAATTCCGCTCCCCCCCATTCTTTCAGAACGTCTCTCAATTCTTTACCCCATACAGATGGATTACCGTTTCCCAGAGCCCTAAGTTCTTTCTGTAAATAGACCCTAACTAGCCTTCCCTTCTTTAGTCTATTCACCACGCCTAGGAAGGACACTACTCTTCTCCTGATTTCCCTCATCGTCAATCCTTTCCTACCACTCTCTGCTCCCCATAGGTACCCTGGGGTGGTTCTATATAGAGACCTCATACCCATTTTCACTACCCTTCCATGCACCTTCTCTAACATTTCTCTCGAAGCCAGTCCCCATATTTCCGTTCCGTACAGGGCCCCTGATTTGCCTAGCACATTCATAACGTACATTCGGCTATTCAGAGTGTTCAACCCTGTCCTTGTAGTCACCCCCCAAGCTGCGTTCACTGCTCTTGTACCCTTCCCCGCATTCTTACGAATATGTTCTCCATATGTATTCATCGATGAGAACCCAGTAACCTAAGTATTTGAAAGTGTTCACCACTTCCACCTCCTTCCCACTTATTTTCCATTTTTCCCCTCTTTTTCTTCAGCCTTCTCCCCTGAAAACCAGATCATTGGTACTAATTAATTTAAAGAAAAAGAAAAAAATGAAAAATTGTAGGTATGGTTATCGAAAATTGTTTGTCGATCTCAGAAAGAAGTGCAAAGTGCATTACTTCAATTCTTATCTTTCAATTGAAAAAAAAACTCAAAAGAACCAAACCGATTAGTAAAGTAAAAATCATTAGTTTTTGAACTGATTCCATCTAATGCAATGGTGTGGTATGAACATTGCGTGATTTGATATCGTAGTTGTGGATGTGGGGGAATGTATGAAATGCATCAAGTAGAGCATGGCCGCGGTCTTTCGTCGTGGGATCGCCAGGCAGCTGTCTAGTGTTACCAAAGCTCTCAGGAGTAGTGAAGAAGTGAGGACGATGGAGGAACCAGGCGAGTGTTTTGTGGGAAAATCAGATCATCACGCTGGAATACACGTCGATTCGCGGAAGGAGCCCTGTCGAGCTGAAAAGTTTGGATCAAGGCTGAGAGGTGAGTTGGTGACTCGTGATTTACAGCTGTGTGTATCGGTGTAGATTATTGTTGCGTATTCCCGGCGCGCATGCGATCTTACTCTGGTTGGATAGGTGTCACTGTTTGATACCCGGGATCCGTTCAAATTCTCATTTTAACGATTTTTTTGCACTTTCTTGTATCAAAGTCGGCAATAACTTATAGCAGGAGCCAAATGCGAGGGCTACAATCACATTTATGAGCCAAACAATTTTTTTTTCGGTATGAGTGAGAAAAATGGATTCAGAATATTTTACCCATCCTTTAATTACATTCAAATTACCTTATGTTGAGAATCTGTGAAAGGAAATGAAAATAGAAATTAAAACATATAGGTTAAAATTTTAGTTTCTCATGAAATTTGTTCTTGTATGCATTCAGAAAACAAACAAACCTCCTCTAATCGTAGTCAAAGGTTGAAAAAGAAGCAATGTAATTGCCCACAATTTAAACTGGCTTTAAATGATACGTATATTTTTGTTACGTATATGTTTGCGTAGCCTCTGCTCGTTTATATATCCAAAAATGATTTCGTTTAAAATAATGTTTTCTTTGTATGCTAAATCTTAAAATATAACCTGACGAACACAACATTAGTGTGTAATTCAAGTCACATTCCATACGTTAAGAGAAAAATCGACATAATATCACAAAAATCATTTCTTGAGCGACAAACATCACATACATATACATATTTGATCAATTGATGGTAGGTTTCAGAGAAGAAATCGGTGCTCTTCGGGCTAAGAAGGAAGTTACTGAATGAAAAGATGATTTTTTTTTCGAAATGAGATAATGCCCCTTCAAAGACAAGAATAGTTTGAGAGAGGGAAAAGATATTGCTTTCTCTCGAACTCAATGCGATTGAGCGTAAGCGACGGTTATGTTTTTAATACGAGATCGGCCGCGTGTGCTGCGCATGCGCCTTCTCATCTCCTCACGTCGTGGCCTTCGGTTTTAGTCGTACGCTTGCGCTTATTAGAGATTTTCGAGATATTTCGAGATCCATTTCCTTTCTCCTTTTTACGATAGGATCTGGAGGTTCTCCTCTGCATAAACTCTATTCATTCAATATGAAAGTCTCTGATTCATGATTCACTAAATCGAACTTTTAATCTTTTTAGTCATTTTCTCATCTTCTGACAAGAAAAAACCGATTTCTTGTAGCAAGAAATTCTCACTTTATCGTGAAATGTTCATTTTCACGTCATGAATACTTCACCGAAATCTGACATTGTCTGACACATTATCCGAAATTCTTATCCCAAGAAATTTATCCTCAAGTGATGAGATGTTTGACGCAAGAAATTAGTTTTATGATATTATGACGATATTTCTCTCAGTGCACGAATTTTGGGTGCAAAAATTGAATTATTCATGTAATGTTTTCTAAAATTCTTTTCTTCTTTTTTCGCAGCTTCCCTGCCGAAATGGACCAACGAAAATAAACGAACTGTTTGGTTCAAAGTAGATCGCTCAGATTCCTCCTGGATTCCGCACTTGGTGAACGAAGGATTTTACTTTCATCATGCTAAAGAAAATTACGTTACCCTGTATCGATGTTTATCCCCAGATGTGTCAGTTCCACCTTACGCCCACACAAATTTGGGGGTGGGAGCTTTTGTAGTGAATGAGGAGACGAATGAGGTTCTCGTGATCAAGGAAAAGCACACGAGTCTTCCAGTTAATCGTTGGAAATTGCCTGGAGGCTATGTAGAACCAGGTAAATTCCATTGTTATTTGAAGTTTATTATCTTGTCCTAGGGGGCTACGCCCCCTGCTGGCTCCGCCCGCCAACGCTCATATGACCTCATGATCCATATTCTGACCCTTGCGACTCTTAATATGACCTTCGTGACCCTTACCCTTAATTTGCTCCGGCGACTCTTTTTCTGATCCTCATGGCCCTTATTTTGACCCTTGTGATCCTAAATTTTGGATTCTTAATTTCGAGTACCAAATATTTCTGTCGTGAATTGGTAAACTAGGATAAGTGCAAAAAAACAAATTTTACAGGAGAGCTGAAAAACTGTTGCTGCCTTTGTGAATAGGGTTTCGAGGGTATTGGCGCTACATTTTTCCCTTTTTATTGGGTCTTTTTTTTAGGTACCAGTATCACGCACGCAGGATGCAATTTGAGTAAAAATTCTGCACTTATCCTTAGTGACTAGATTTTCGGGAAAGATAAGTCAACTTATCTTTTTCGATGACTCAATCAACTGGATATATGTTGACTTATCTCCTGGTGCTCTAAGTAACGATGATAGTCAATTGACCGATTCTTTGAACAAAACGCAAAAGAAGTTCATTGTATCCTGATGACCCTATGGAACAGAAGTAAACAATATGTCCCCAAATACATGGATCATGTTTATTCTATTTCTCCATGTTTCATCTCGAACTGTGGTCTTGGTTGGACGATGAAAACTACTCAAGGGCTTATTTTTTAAACAAAAAAATTCAGTTTGTGGGGGAACTCGGTGGGGGCAAAATGGGGTTTTCTTGAGCTTACACGATTCAATGGCGGCAAAGTGATTATTGCGGGAACATGTACGATTGACTGGGGGCAAAATGGATATGTCCTGAACTTATACGATACAATAGGGAAAAAATCGGTATTTCCTGAACTTACATTATTTAATAGGGGTAAAATGGGTATTTCGAGAATTCGTACGATTGAATGAGGGCAAAATGGGTGTTTCGAGAACTTGCACAGTTGAATGGGGGCAATGTGGGTATTTTGTGAAGTTCTAATATTTCATAGAGGCAAAATGGGTATTTCCAGAATTTATACGATTGGAAGGGGGCAAAATGGGTATTTTTTAGACTTGTGAGATTTAATAGGGGCGAAATAGATATTTCTTGAGCTTGTACGATCGAATAGGAGCAAAATGGGTCTTTCGGCAACTTGTAGGATTGAATAGGAGCAAAATGGGTATTTGGAAAAATTGTAGGATTGAATGGGAGTAAAATGGCTCTTTCCTGAACATGCATCATTGAATCGGGACAAAATTGATATTTTGGGACTTTACACCTTATTTAGGGGGAGAGGGGGACCCAAGTTAAACTTGGAAATCTGCAATGGATGAAAATAGCTATTGAACGGCTCTTGATATATGATGGGCCATCATTAATGGCACACCTGAAAAACTAGAAAGAAATCGGCCCCAACCCGTTATGCCTCATACGTTAAACGGAAACCTCAAACGGAAACCAAATACACGAAAAAGAAGGGCCTCGTTCAATGTATGGGGACAAATGGGTTGGGCCCGATTTGTTCTCAATTTCTCAGGTGTGGCATCATATACCAAAAGTCATTTAATTAAGGGCCACAAAGAGAAAATTGAATTTCACGAGGGTTCCAAGGGGAAAATTAAATTTCACGAGGGTCATGAGGGGAACATTATATTTCACGAGGAGCAAACGTCACGAGGCTCACGAGGGCCACACTGAAGGAGAAAATAATTTTCTCCTTCATTGCAGATTTCTTGTCTTTATCCCTATCAAGGAGGGGGGGGGGGGCAAGTAAAACTTGAAAGTCTGCGACGAATGCAAATAACTATAATACGTAAAAAATGTATAAAATATAGTATACAGTTTTTTACATGTTAGAAATTTTGAGGGCACCCAGCAGGATCAAAGGTCACGAGGCTTACGAAGGCCAGGAGGAAAAATAGTATATTTCGATACGAGTGGGACGAGGCGTTTGAAATTTAATTTTCCCCTCGTGAGTCTCGTGACGTTTGATACAGTGAAAATTAATTTTCCCCTCGTGGCCCTCGTGAGAGTCGTGAGCTTCATGAGCTTCGTGATGTTTGGCCCTCGTGAAATTTAATTTTCCCCTCGTGGCCCTCATGAGCCTGGTGATGTTTGATTCTCATGAAATTCAATTTTCGTCTTGTGGGCCTCGTGAGCCTCATGACATTTGATCTTCGTGAATTTAATGTTCCCCTCGCGAGCCTTGTGACGTTTCATTCTCGTGAAACTCAATTTTTCCCTTGTGGCCCTCGTAAACCTCGTGACATTTGTTCCTCGTGAACTATAACGTTCCCCTCATGACCCTTGTGGCGTTTTACCCTTGTGAAATTTAATTTTCCCCTTGGAACCCTCGTGAAATTTCAGTGTTCTCCTTGTGGCCCGTGTGAGCCTCGTGACGTTTGACCCTCAAGAAATTAAATTTTACCCACGTGGCTCTCGTAACAATTGACCCTCAAGAAATTAAATTTTTCCCTTGTAGCCCTCGTAAGCCTCGAGACGTTTGACGTAAATCCATTATTTCCACTCTCATAATTGTAAAAATTGATGTCAAATAGATGGTATAATACGTGACGTATAAAACGTATTTTACTTTACGTTTTATACATCTAAAAAAAAGTGACGTAAAATACATGGTATAATACGTGTAAAATACTAGGTATTTTACTTGACGTATTTTACGTGCCCAACCCTGAGAAGAATATGGCTACTAGCCGGATAGCTTAGTTTTGAGAGCACCTGATTCATAAAAGAATAATTTTATAACTCGAGAGGCAGTCATGTTCATAAATTGACACAATTATTCAAAATAATTATCATATAATTTTTGCCCTCTATGCGACCGTACAAATTCAAGAAATACCCATTTTCTTCCAATTGATTCGTATGAGTTCAGAAAATACCCATTCTGCCCCCATTGAATCATATAAGGTGAATAACTACCGATTAAGACCCTATTGAATCGTACAAGTTCCCGAAAACCCCATTTTGCCCCCATTCAATCGTACAAGTTTCCGAAATACCTATTTTACCCCCACTCAATCCTACAAGTTCCCGAAATACCCATTTTGCCCCG